AAAAAAAAATTCTAGTTTTAGCATGAAAAAGATTTGCTGAGATATGCATCATTTGTATGTTAAAAGCTTAAATTGAGCTTATCAAATCTTGAGAATTTGTGTTAAAACTGGAAAAAACCCATTTAGTAACTGTTTCACAAGGCATTTGTAAGATCAGAATTTTCTTATGAAATCTTGGTAATAGTTCATGGTTATGGAACCTTGAAAAGATTAACTAATATATTTAATTTAACTTTGTACATGTGGTATCTCAATATGAAGCTGAGACTATATATTGGTGTATATAATGGAAATGAAAAATGTTTAGCCCCAAATCTATTACATCAATTACTCTTGCACTTTCTTTGTTCGAACTACAAGTGCAAGTATTGTGTGTGGTGATATCTGATAATCTACCTAAAGCCAATTGTTTAGTGTATAATCAAGGAAATCTTTATAAACTTGACTAAATATGCTGCAGGAATCAATCAATCAATAGTTTTGCTCATGGCGTCGTGACAAGCTCACCAATCAATAATCTCATTAACCTTGAATAACTGATGTACTTTTCTTCCTCTAAGGTCAGGTTTTGTCATACCTGTGCTCACAAAGTGATGACATCATCACTTTCCGTGTATGTGAAATGCATTTTGCCAGCTGTGTAAGCTCGTCGATTATACGCCTGACCATGTGTCATAGCAACAGGATGTGTTATTCCATGGTGATTCTAATGCTGTGATATTGTCACATGTCACCTGAGTGCATATGCTCCGATGTTCGTGGAACAGGTGGATAGTTTCATAGCTGATTTACCACTGGGAAGGAACTGATTGACTTGACATCATAGGATTTGGTAGCATCTGTTTATATCAAGAGGAAATTAATATTAAACCAGTATCGCTATGGCGAGCAAGTCACAACGTCGGCAATATTATGGTAAGTGGGACAATCTCCTTCATAATGATTTCCAGGGGAATAGAATTGATGTTCTCAAAATACAGGGCTTTGGTAATGAAATTGGTATTTTTAGTTGTCCCTTTAAATTTTTTAATTTTTTCATAGTACCAAGTAAATTGCAAGTCAGTTCACAAGGAATAACCAAACTTCATATTTTCCTGTATTCTTTATCATTTTTGTTCCCTATATATCAATAATTTTCATTGTGTGATTATTAGGAGGGCTATGCAGTAGCCTTGTGTTAAATGTGATCCCTCTCACACAGAAGACCCGGGTTCCATTCCCCACATGGGTACTATGTGTGAAGCCCATTTCTGGTGTCCCCCGCCATGACAGGCTTCACACATTATACCCTTGTGGGGAATCAAACTGGGGCTTTCGGCTTGACGAGTGAACGCTTTAACCACCGGGCTACCCCACCGCCCCAGTGTTAAAAAGAGATGTCCCAGCCAACATTTGAAACTTAGTATTGAAGATGTCAGGGTTTAAACAGTCTAGAACCGGTCACTTACTGATGCTGATTTCATACCTCACTAACCAATTTCCATGGCAATCGTGCCATGTGTCGATTCCCAAGTCAAAGCAATAAGCTTGTCAAGAAATCTGTTCATTAAAGAACTGTGTGTGAATCCAAATAAGGCCAAATAAAAAAAATGTTGTAGTTCCGATTACACCTCTTTAAAATTTAGGGAAGGTAGGTAGGAATTTTTTTTTTACATATTTTGTTTCAGAAGGGAAGTTCAAACTAATAACACGTGTATCAACGTGTAATTGTTTATTCAATCAAGTTTGTGGCCATCAAATCGACTTTCTCTATCAGAATGACTGATATCTGTCGGCACCGGGAAAAAACCCAATGGTATCTGAAAGCTTATTTTATTGAGTCCGCTTACAAAAATAGGGTCGGCACCAGAATTCAAGGGTCGGTGGGGTAATCGGAACCACAACATTTTTTTTAAGGCCTAACATGAAAGAATGTAAAATAATCAACTATTCTGTTCTAAAATTAACTAACCTTACAAATCAATCCTCATTCACTACAGGGAAATTAAAATGGCAGTACAAAATAGAGTGGCAGTACAGATGTAATGGCAGTACAAATACTGTGTCGGGATAATGTAAACAGGGATCGTAGCAATAAAGACAGTGGTGATACTATTCACCTAGCAGCAGTGAGTACTGCAATCGAGCTTCCATAATAGGCTTGGGAGGGAATCAATAAATAGCAAAACTTATCTTCATTATAGGATCCTATAATGTATGCCTGTAAAATATATTGAAAATAAAGAAAACAACCAAAAAACCAAACTCATCTTCATATAACTACATTGTTTTCATGGAATACGAGGTCTTATGTCAGTGTGCGAATGTACGCTGGTCCTGTGGTCCTAGGCTTGTAAAAATTCAACAGGACCACCAAATGATAAGTTTTGCAGCGGTCTTGATGGCCTGTGAATTTTGTATTGATAGTCAAATAAGTCTACGAATGTTATTTTGGACCAGTGAAATACAGACAGGATCACTAATTGTCCACTCACTGGTCCTGTGGTCTAGTGGGGAAATTTTGAAAGGTAATTCTTCCCTATTATGTTAGAAGGCGACTAATGGGATCAGGTGGTTCGGCTCACTGACTTGGTTGACACATGTCATTGTATCCCAATTGCATAGATCAATGCTCATGCAGTTCATCACTGGATTATCTGGTCCAGATTTGATTATTTTCAGACTGACGCCATGTAGCTGGAATATTGCTGAGTACAACTAAACTCACTCACCCATTCTTATGTTAGATGCCTGATGCAAGACTGGTGCCCCATTACATGTATTGACAAAAGAGCTTCAGGAACTTTCTCTAACATTCTGGGTCAGACAACACTCCAGGAATATTGCAGGATAGGCCTGGGAATTTCCAGACCAGTCATTACCCAGACTAAATATAGCAACTGGCTCACCGCAGCCCTCTACTGAACAATACCACTCTTTTCTACAATGCCATGTAACACCTGATACTGAAATATATCAGGGCTCCAGATAATTTTTCAAAATCAGGAGTACAGACTCCTTATTTGTTCAATATAGGAGTACTGGAAAACCTTAAGTGTACATTTAGAGTACTGAATGGAATTTAATGGCATATCAGTAATCTTGAGTTTCGTTTCATATATGCACCACAACATTGCTAGTCTAGGTCAATAAACAATAAAACAATACTCTTTCAGATAAATACGTCTGTAAATGATTCTAAGACCTTTCACCATTGCTGCGGTGCGTATCTGATACGTTTTCTAAATTATTTCCTGCCGTATCGTGTATATTTTCTATCCGTACATACGTCGTATCTGGAGCCCTGTATATGTAATATGTATGTCATTTAACAGTCTGAGCAATATTTCCTGACTCACAAATGCATTATTTTCAGTTTCACTTGTACTTATATTGATTTTTCTCATTGACAGACTGCAACTGTGAATTAAGTGTGTTTTATAATTTTATGCTGAGTAATCCTCTAGTGACATTATTATTATGATTCATTCACTTACTTTGGTGAATCGAACCGTATCTCTTCATGAATTCAATTCATTATATTTGTGATCACTACAATCAACTCTTTAGGCCAAATAAAACTAATGTTGTGGTTCCGATTACACCTCTTTAAAATTAAGGGTAGGTAGGTAGGATTTTGCTGTTTGTTTTTAGAGTGAGTGAGAGAGTATGGTTTTACGCTGCTTTTAGCAATATTCCAGCAATATCACGACGGGGGGACACCAGAAATGGGCTTCACACATTGTACCCATGTTGGAAATCGAATCCGGGTCTTTGGTGTGATGAGCCAGTGCTTTAATCATTAGGCTTCCCCACCGCCATCGTTTTTGGAAGTAAAGTACTAACTAATAACATATTTATCAATGTGGAATTGTTTATTCAATCAAGCTTGCGGCCATCATGTCGACTTTCTCTATCAGAATGACCGATGTCTGTCGGTGCCATAAAAAACCCAATAATATCTGAAAGCTTATTTTATTCATTCCGCTTTAAAACACATGGAAGGCACCAGAATTCAAGGTCAATCGGGTAAACGGAACCACAACCAGAGGTTGAATATTTTTCAGAACTCAACAGGTCCAGTAAACTTTCAAAATCCACTTGACCAAATATTAATTTCACTTGACAACAATTAACAATTTGGTTTCTTTTGCTAATCTTTATCAGTTATAAACAACAAAACAGCTAATACATTCTGAACAGTTTTTAGTCAATAAAACACCAATCAATGATCAACTAATAAATGTATCAAATTTACAACTTGATATGGGAAACAAGGGCAATTAACTACATCAAAACATATTATTTCATGGTGAAATTGTTTTATCGAGTTTGCAACACGTTTACATTAATTAAATCTGTCATACCTCATTATGTTGCGGTAGACACCCCACCAGTGGTATCAACACTAGTGGTATCACGCTAGTGTCCACATTTGTCCTTTTCTGAGAAGATTTATGCTGAGAATTAGTTTTTAAGTTTTAGACCAAAAGAACTGGAAAAAGAGTAAGGTGTTTGAAATAGAAGCATTCCTTTGAATTTATGTATTCCATATGTTTTAGTGTCTGTTTTCAGTTGTATGCCTATAGGATTCAGGATTCCGCATCCTGTAAATTATTGTTATGTTTTTTGCAGAGAGAAAGGGTTACCGATTTTGTCAGGTAAGGCCAGACCAATTTTTGTTTCTTGTTTTACGGATCCGTGGTCGTATTTTTTCAAAAATAAGAAGAAAAATTTTAATTAATTTCCCCCGCTCAAAAAATAAAATCCTAATGTTTTTGTTGGACAAAAATGTAAACTTACAAGAAATTTTTTTTTAGATTGTATTTTGCCCCATAGACACTTCATAAGTTGCCAAAAGTAAAATACTTTTAGTATTTAGAAGGAATTTAAATTTGACTGGTGATTTTTTTTTTCCTGCCTGAGGACAAAAATCCGTAAAACAAGAAATAAAATTTGTCTGACCTAATGGTTCTTTTGTTTGTTCCATGAGGTTTACTTTACTCCTTTCCTTGATCCAGCATCCGAAATGAAGAATGGGAAAGTTGCGGAGGGTGCGCGCAAGGAGAGTGGAGACAGCAGTAAGCTGATCGATGGGAAAGAAGAAAACCCTGATGCCGGTAAACAAGTCGGAGTCTTCGAAGTTGTAAGTTTTGTTTAATAATAATAATAATAAATGCATTTGTTTTGCGCTATTTTTGATCTGTTGCAGTTGCTCAAAGCGCAGACAATCTGATTATTATTACCCCGGATAACCTGCCTGTGAGGCGCAGGAAGGTTAATAGTCATATAGAAGATGGGTTAGCCTTGTGGTTAAAGTGTTTGCTCCTCACACTGAAGACCCGGGTTTGATTCCCCATATGGGTACAATGTGTGAATTCCATTTCTGGTGTCCCCAGCCGTGATATTGCTGGAATATTGCTCACTCTGCTTTATTTTCACTGCAGATCAGATGACTAAAAGAGAATATATAAAAATAGCACACACTTCTGCCCCTTTTCTGGATGACTTGCTGCAAACTCTGAAGATATTAGAAATAAAGTTTCCAAAAGTTTGAAATATGAAATTCTGAAGCTGGCACTATAGAACACTGTTGAATGGCCCTGTCCAAACTCAATAGTACAGTATACTCGATAGTGTACAGGCTGTGGTATAGCTACTGTCAAGTAATCCTGTCCAAAGTCAATAGCACAGTATACACGATAGTGTACAGGCTGTGGTATAGCTACTGTCAAGTGATCCTGTCCAAACTCAATAGTACAGTATACTCGATAGTGTACAGGCTGTGGTATAGCTACTGTTGAGTGGACCTGTCCAAAGTCAATAGTACAGTATACACGATAGTGTACAGGCTGTGGTATAGCTACTGTCAAGTGATCCTGTCCAAAGTCAATAGTACAGTATACTCGATAGTGTACAGGCTGTGGTATAGCTACTGTTGAGTGGACCTGTCCAAACTCAATAGTACAGTATACACGATAGTGTACAGGCTGTGGTATAGCTACTGTCAAGTGATCCTGTCCAAAGTCAATAGTACAGTATACTCGATAGTGTACAGGCTGTGGTATAGCTACTGTCAAGTGATCCTGTCCAAACTCAATAGTACAGTATACTCGATAGTGTACAGGCTGTGGTGGTATAGCTACTGTTGAGTGGTCCTGTCCAAAGTCAATAGTACAGTATACACCGATAGTGTACAGGCTGTGGTATAGCTACTGTTGAGTGGTCCTGTCCAAACTCAATAGTACAGAATACTCGATAGTGTACAGGCTGTGGTATAGCTACTGTTGAGTGGACCTGTCCAAACTCAATAGTACAGTATACTCGATAGTGTACAGGCTGTGGTATAGCTACTGTCGAGTGATCCTGTCCAAAGTCAATAGTACAGTATACTCGATAGTGTACAGGCTGTGGTATAGCTACTGTTGAGTGGACCTGTCCAAACTCAATAGTACAGTATACTCGATAGTGTACAGGCTGTGGTATAGCTACTGTTGAGTGGTCCTGTCCAAACTCAACAGTACAGAATACTCGATAATGTACAGGCCGTGGTATAGCTGCTGTTGAGTGGTCCAGCCCAAACTTGATGTATACCATCTGTGGTAGAGTGGGAATATTGCAGTATACTCTAATGTACAGGCCGTGGTATAGCTGCTGTTGAGTGGTCCAGCCCAAACTTGATGTATACCATCTGTGGTAGAGTGGGAATATTGCAGTATGCTAATGTACAGGCCGTGGTATAGCTGCTGTTGAGTGGTCCAGCCCAAACTTGATAGTATACCATCTGTGGTAGAGTGGGAATATTGCAGTATGCTAATGTACAGGCCGTGGTATAGCTGCTGTTGAGTGGTCCAGCCCAAACTTGATGTATACCATCTGTGGTAGAGTGGGAATATTGCAGTATACTCTAATGTACAGGCCGTGGTATAGCTGCTGTTGAGTGGTCCAGCCCAAACTTGATGTATACCATCTGTGGTAGAGTGGGAATATTGCAGTATACTCTAATGTACAGGCCGTGGTATAGCTGCTGTTGAGTGGTCCAGCCCAAACTTGATAGTATACCATCTGTGGTAGAGCGGGAATATTGCTGCAATGCTATCAACATTCATTGTAAACCAATAGTGAGTGCTTTCCGCAATCTGATTGGTTAATTACCCTTGTCGAATACTGTTCGACATACCTGAAAATGATGGCCTAATAACCGCACATTAATACGTTGGCACTAATACAGTACTACTTTCCCTGCATGAATTTGCATAATTGAGGAACATTACCACCTTAAATCCTTTCTCTGGGATTTTGATACAATCTTTGAAGACAACAAATTCTTGGAGAATTATTCAAAAATGATGGTGTATACAATCACATGGCACATTATCATATGTGATCAGATAATAGTAAAGTGATTGAAGAGCCATAAAATAATATCCTTCAATGATGTTTATTCACAAATGAACTGCTCTGCAAATCTCAAGCAATCGTGTATTTAATTTGGTACAATATTCCAAGTTTAAAGATTATTATTCAGCCAAAGAATAAGTTAATGATACTTGTTTCTAGATATTTATCTTCCAAAATACACCAATCCCAGCACTCCGGATGTTTCCACTTCGAAATTCCAGCCTTGACGCTGATCCGGCTCCATCTTGTACACCGAGCGTCCCTCCACAGTCCAGCTTTGCTAAGATTGATGAGAATAGCCTGAGGGAAATAATTGATGGGTCATTATCGAAAGCGTTTAACGTTTTGTAAACAAAGCAAAAGGAAGTTACATGTTAGTTACCTCCCTTTCGCTAGACACACACGGCTTCTTAACACAATTATCAAAGGAATAAAAGCAATATATAGCTATTATTATAGCTTTCAACAAGATTTACATCTGATCTAACACTAAATGATAATAACATGATATACTAAAATAGCAAACAATAAATACTAATCGGTAATAATGAAAAGGTACTAATGCAGTCTAGGAAATCCTACTGACACAAGCCCTAGCATATCAAAACAATTAAAAATATTGAAATCTTACCTTTTGTGTCCGGTTTCATCCTTCAAATCGTACAAATCCCACATGAATCCCAATAATGAATCTTTCTTTCAACATCCGAAATCTGTCGTCGATATCCGAGATTGTGTTTGGTACACCTCACTTCAGTCACAATGCGTTGGCAAGAATTCACTGTCGCAAATGATGAAAACATCTCCAAGAATGCCAAGTTGCCACACACACACAGTGTTACACAAATCACTGCCTTCACGCAACAGCCGTCACTCTGCTATCCCATGCCGGAATCGAGTTTAAAGTTTAAAATCATACTGCACCGAATCCAGCAGTGTACAGGTGTACAGAAGAGGTCGTACTCGGACATTTTGCAGGGGTCTGATCGCCAACGCGTTGATTCTCATGCCGTTGCCACTGTTTCATCATCTTGGCCCTTTTCACACTTGCAAAGTTGTATCCGTGATGGGAATGTTTCAGGGCATACACAATTCTACCATAATAGTCAGCTTCGTTAATCGACAGTAGGCCTAACTTGACACGATCAAATCCTTGTGGTCATCCTTGATTGGCCCAGTCTACGTAAGATTACATGAGGTGGAGAAGGTAGCATAAAATGGAATTCTTTCATTGTCATTGCAGTTCCAGTGGTATTGCAGTAATTATCCCCCGCAACGCGTTTTGCGGGGGGTATTAAAATGGACTCCATCCGTGCGTCCGTCAGTCCGTCCGTCCGTCCGTGCACATTTGTCTTTTCCGGAGCAGAACTCTAAAAACTCAATATTTCTTCACCAAACTTGGCACATACATGGATCTGGTGGTGTACTGGTGCCTTTTGTAGTTTTGGAATTCTGAATTAAATATTTTTGGCGTTTCCATGGCAACAAGTTCGACTTTGACTGAAATTGGTGGTAGTGCTCTTTTCCGGGGCAGAACTCTAAAACCGTTCATTATTTAATCACAAAACTTGGCACATAGAAAGATCTGGTGGTGTACTGGTGCCTTTTGGTAGTTTTGGAATTCTGAATAAAACATTTTTGGCGTTTCCATGGCAACAAGTTCGACTTTGACTGAAATTGTGGTAGTGCTCTTTTCCGGAGCAGAACTCTAAAACCGTTCACTATTTCTTCACCAAACTTGGCACATAGATAGATCTGGTGGTCTTCTGGTGCCTTTTGGTTGTTTTGGAATTCTGAATAAAATATTTTTGGCGTTTCCATGGCAACAAGTTTGACTTAGCCTGAAATTGTGGTAGTGCTCTTTTCCGGAGCTGAACTCTAAAACTGTTCACTATTTCTTCACCAAACTTGGCACATAGATAGATCTGGTGGTGTACTGGTGCCTTTTGGTAGTTTTGGAATTCTGAATAAAATATTTTTGGCGTTTCCATGGCAACAAGTTTGACTTAGACTGAAGTTGGTGGTTGTGCTCTTTTCCGGAGCAGAACTCTAAAACCATTCACTATTTCTTCACCAAACTTGGCACATAGATAGATCTGGTGGTGTACTGGTGCCTTTTGGTAGTTTTGGAATTCTGAATAAAATATTTTTGTCATTTCCATGGCAACAAGTTTGACTTAGACTGAAATTGGTGATAGTGCTCCTTTCTGGAGCAGAACTTTCAAAACCTTTCAATACTCTCCTTCCACTTTTCTATATACACACCTAAATATTTGACATAATCATAACTCATAGACATAATCATGAAGAGTATTTTGCCATTGCGGGGGATATTGATGACTTTGTCTTCTTGTTGAGATTAACATGAAGACGTGTAATATGTTACTCATCAAGTTTAATTTTAAAAATGACTGAATACAACTTGTTTTGTGTATTATATTGACAGTTATTCATTTCGAACATGACGTAACCTATCTCCCCCATTAGATAATAGCGTAACCCTTCTTGTGTCGTTTCTCGTATCTGGGGCGACAGCTAACTTGACCACGAGAGGCTAACCGCATTGCGAGACACGATCGCGCTACATTCAAAGAGCTCCATGGAAAAACGCTTCTCACTACAGATTGGTTTACAATATCGATGCCGTCGGTTTTAAGCTAAATTTGCCTATGTTGAATTCCAATGAATCCTGGAAATTGAACAAATCAAACTATTTATCTTCTAATTCACTGGATGTCATTTCTTTGATTACAGTTTAGGTTTGCTGACTGCATGGATCGGATATTCATGATCTTGGGGTCACTGTCGGCTGCTATACACGGAGTAGCACTTCCAGGCATGATCATAATCTTCGGCGAGATGATCGACATCTTTGTAAACAACGCCCAGATAACCGGCAAGGTGGATTTGATAAAAGACTTCCTCGACTCTGTGAACCTCACAACAGCCATTGTGATAGAGGACCCTACAATATTACTGTAAGGGATATATTCTATCTGAGAGACCTCGCTAACTTACATGTCGTCATATCCTAATTGCGTAGATCAATGCTCATGATGTTGATCACTGTCTGGTCCAGACTCGATTATTTACAGATCGCAGCCATATAGCTGGAATATTGCTGACCGTGGCCTTAAATAACAACCAAACAACTTATTTGAGAGACAGCTGGTTTATGGTTAAACAATTGGCTGAGCAGAGTTACACCACTTGTTGGTGCAAGGATCTGCTGCTTTTTTGTTCTAATCAGTTTGGTTATGAGCCATGGTCAGACGTCACCATATGATGCATATGAGCTATGTAGTGATGAAAAAAGTTCCCCAAACTATTTTTGATCTGGTTTTACTTTAATTCTTTTTTATTTTATTGAGTCATCAGGATGTCGAGAATTTTTGTTTGTTTTGTTGTCCATGAAAACACAAGCCTTTTAGAAACCAGTGATAGTGATAGGAAATTGACTCCAGTGTGATTCACATGTACCAGGATTATCAAAATGATCAGTTCCTGTACACTGTTGTTCTGAAGAACTTAAACTCATATATTTGTGTTTTGTAAAACTACTTCAGCCATTTGGCCTGGTCACTTCGGCCACTTTGAAGAGGTAAGCATGTTTGGCATTTGGGACAACATTTTTCTCTTTTAAGCCTTCGATTTGGCTCTACATTTATTAACAGGTTTCAGGGCCGTATTTGACAATGATACGTGTTCCCTGGAGAAGAACTGACTGTTCTTCACAATTTCATACCTTTACCGACCTGTGAAGATCCGGGTTAGAATTGGTCTTCAGCAAACCATGCTTGTCGTAAGAGGCGACTAACAGTATCGGGTGGTCAGGCTCGCTGACTTGGTTGACACATGTCATTGTATCCCAATTGTGTAGATGTATGTTCATGCTGTTAATCACTGGATTGTCTGGTCCAGACTTGATTATTTACAGACTGCTGCCATATAGCTGGAATATTACTGAGTGTGGCGTTAAACAACCAACCAACCAATACTAATTCATACCTCTACCGAGGCCGTTGGGTAGCTAGTGGTTAAAGCGTTCGCTTGTCACGCTGAAGACCCTGGTTCGAGTCCCCACATGGGTACAATGTTCGAAGCCCATTTCTGGTGTACCCCATCGTGATATTGCTGGAATATTGCTAAAAGCGGTGTAAAGCTAAACTCACTCACTCATACCTCTAATAACTGTTCCAGGAGTAAATGTACGGAGTTGGCAGCTTTCTATGGCAACAACCTGACCTGTACCTCCCTCCAGGGTGATTTAAGTTCAGTGTTCATGGACAAGATGGAGGAATTTTCTCTCTACTATGTCTGTGAGTAGTTTAAGTGTAAGAGACAATTAAAGTTTGTGTTACTGCTTGTGATACCAGTTGGTTATTTGGACCTTCTTCAAGGTCAGTATAGGGACGGTGGGGTAGCCTTGTGGTTAAAGCGTTCACTTGTCAAGCTGAAGGCCCAGGTTCAATTCTCCACATGGGTACAATGTGTGAAGTCCATTCCTGGTGTCCCCTGAAATGTGTAAAACCCGACTCACTCACTCACTTGAGGACAATAATCCGGCCTAAGTTTGTAGCAAATGTCAGTAAGAAATTTGAAGGTTGAACTAAATGAAAACTGCTTCATGCTGTTACAAGTGTAACGTAAGTCTAGGCTTTGTGGAGATGAATTGTTATCACTCATAACAGGATATTTAATTGGGTAGAGGCTTTAATGCTGAGTACCCATGAAGGTCCGGGTTAGAATATTGATCTTCAGTAACCCATGCTTGTCATAAGAGGCGACTAACAGGATCGGGTGTTTAGGCTCGCTGACTTGGTTGACACATGTCATCAGTTCTCAATTGCGCAGATCGATGCTCATGCTGATGACTGGATTGTCTGGTCCAAACTCAATTATTTACAGGCCGCCGCCATATAGCTGGGATATTGCTGAGTTCAGTGTAAAACTAAACTCACTCACTTAATAATCTAAAGGGCAGCTGCCAGTCTGAAATTGTCTTTGATTTAGCACTTGCACACTTGCGAAGGGTCATCTGAAGAGGGAAAAGGCTTCAAACTGACTCAAATATGACGGCTCTTGTATAAGATGAACATGTGTTTCTGTAATGCTATCTTCTTTAGATATTGCTCTGGGGGTCATCGTGTTGGGCTACGGCCAAGTTGCGTTCTGGATGACTGCTGCCGAAAGACAGTCACATCGGATTAGGCTGGCGTTCATCAAGAACATCCTCCGCCAAGACATCAGCTGGTATGATGTGAATGAAGTCGGAGAGCTGAACACCAGATTGTCAGAGTGAGTTTTGTTTTCATCTGGATGTTCCAATTGATGGTGGGGCGGTGGAGTAGCCTACTGGTTAAATATCGCTTGTCACGGCGAAGATCATGGTTTTATTTCCCATATGGGTACAATGTGTGAAGCCCGTTGCTGGAATATTGTTAAAAGCGACGTAAAGCCATACTCATTCACTCACTCACTTTCTCAAGACTAGACTGAGGCAGTGGTTATCCTAAAGTTAACGCGTTTGCTCACCACGTCAAGGACCGGGTTCGATCCCCACATGAGTACAATGTGTGAAGCCTATTTCTGGTGTCCCCGCCATATATTGAGGGAATAGTGTTAAAGGCGGCGTAAAACCATCCTCATTCATTCATTCTACGCGGAAACGCACTATGGACCTTCTAGGTTAGACTCTGGCGGTGGGGTAGCCTAGTGGTTAAAGCGTTCGCTCGTCAAGGCGAAGATCCTGGCTCGATTTACCATATGGGTACAATGTGCGAAGCCCATTTCTGTTGTCCCCCGGTTGTGATATTGTTGGAATATTGCTAAAAGCGATGTAAAAACAATCTTCACTCACTCACTTGATGACTGGATTGTGTGGCCAAGAGTTATTTTTTGTTGGGATATTGCTGGGAAATAGGTGAGTGATCATAATAAAACTAACAAAATGATTGTTATCAAATATGTGGTTGAGGTTTGTTTTGTGTTTACAGTGACATCAACAAGATCCATGATGGCATTGGAGACAAGATGGGTAACTTCCTGCAGTGGTTGGCATGCTGTCTCGCAGGGTTCATTATTGGGTTCTACTATGGCTGGAAACTCACTCTGGTGATCCTTGCGATCAGTCCCGCCTTGGTCGTCTCTGCCGGACTGATGAGCAGGGTGAGTGGACGGACGCGGTTTGACACTTTTACGCACCAGTGAATGCTGTTTCCCTGGCATACGACAGGGCGGTGGGGTAGCCTAGTGGTTCGTGTGTTCGCTCGTCACGCCGAAGACCCAGGTTCCATTCCTCAGATAGGTACAATGTGTGAAGCCCATTTCTGGTGTCCCCTACAGTGATATTGCTCGAATATTGCTAAAAGCGGCGTAAAACTACTCACTCAGTCACTGACATTAAGCATTGTATCCATATTTGGTATAATGTGAAATATTTTCCAGTTTCCTTTCGCCTAGAAGTAGTCACGTCATTGATGAAGACACAGATAGGCTCCCAGTCAGTTCTGAAAATTTACGGTATTACATGGGGAATTACCTTGAAGTGGTTTACCCAAACCAAAACCAGATCCATTTTAGCTGATACAGTTTGATATGTTGAATCAGCCTTTCTCTTGTGTTTGTACAATAGAACTTGAACTCGAAGCTGACGGAATATAATCCAATGGAACACTATTGAAAGTAGTGTTAAACCCATTTCACTCACCTGTGTTGTGGGAGAGTTGAAGGGCAGTGGTTCAGTTCAACAAACTGACCCATAGACGGACAGGTGGATAGACAGACAGACGGATAGTTAGTCAGACAGATGGTTAGAGTGACAAATAAATGGATGCATAGACTGATAGACAGGCAGATGGATGGACAGACAGGTGGATGGACAGCCGGTCTGTCGGACAGGCAGTTAGAGGGACAAATGAATGGATGCATAGACAGATGGACAGACGGACGGATGGATGGACAGGAAGTTAGATGGACAAATGAAAGGATGCATAGACCGATGGACAAACTCACAGATGGATGGATAGAGTCACAGACAGAGGTGAATGGAGAGATGGACGGACGGTCAGTCTGACAGGCAGTTAGAGGGACAAATGGATGGATGTACAGACGGAAGGACAGACTCACAGACAGATATATGGTTGCGCCTCAGTGTATATGCGCAATAACCTTAAGCAGATTGTGAACTCCATCACACCTCCCATGTTTTGTGATACAGCTGATGGCTTCCATGACCAGCAAGGAGTTAGCAGCGTATGCCAAAGCTGGAGCTATAGCAGAGGAGGTCCTTGGTGCCATCAGAACTGTCGTCGCATTCGGTGGACAGGAGAAAGAATGTAACCGGTAAGTCAATCATTATGTAATCAGTCAATCATTAGGTAATCAGTTAATCAAACCGAGTCTTCAGCTGTGGGTTGATACAAATAAGATTCCTTCAGGGACCATGACTTTCATGATTGGTGGTGTTTGTTTATTGCCTCTTTGTTTATTTCATCTTTGTTTATTTCATCTTTGTTTATTGCCTCTTTGTTTATTGCATCTTTGTTTATTGCACAAACAAACAACATCATCAAGAAAACTCTTCAAAACAATCAAACATAAACTTTGAGACATCCAGTGCATGCAAAACCAGTCTCACGTTGGTATCAGTGGAGACATATTCTTTGGCAAATAAGCCAACCATCATTGTGAAATGATACTTATTTCTTCAGGTATTCATCTAATCTACAAGATGCCAAAGCGTTTGGGATTCGGAAGGGCTACACCAACGGGCTGTCGCTGGGTTTGGTATGGCTGGTGATGTTTTCAGCTTACGCTCTCGGGTTCTGGTACGGCACCAAGCTGGTGAGGGAAGAGCCGGAGAACTACCAGGCTGGAAAGATGATCATTGTGAGTACGACAAGCAAGAGTACATGGCCATTTGAAGTTCTTTAGAACAAGGCTTTGTAGGGAAAGCCAGTATAGGTAAAGATGTTTCACAACTGACCAACATGATCATCATTCTTCATGAATGGGGTGGTGGGGTAGCCTAATGGTTAAAGTGTTTGCTCGTCACGCTGAAGACCCGGGTTCGATTCTCCACATGGGAACAATGTGTGAAGTCCATTTGTGGTGTTCCTTGTTGTGTCCGTCCGTCCTTGCACATTTGTCTTTTCCGGAGCAGAAGTCTAAAACTGTTCAATATTTCTTCACCAAACTTGGCACATAGATAGATCTGGTGGTGTACTGGTGTCTTTTGGTAGTTTTGGAATTCTGAATAAAATATTTTGGGCATTTCCATTGCAACAAGTTTGACATAGACTGAAATTGGTGATAGTGCTCCTTTCTGGAGCAGAACTTTAAAAACCTTTCAATACTCTCCTTCCACTTTTCTATATACACACCTAAATATTTGACATACTCATAACTTGTAGACATAATCATGAAGAGTATTTTGCCATTGTGGGGGATATTGATGACTTTGTCTTCTTGTTATATTGCTAAAAGCGGCGTAACTCTAAACTCACTCGCTCATGATATGATGATTGTAAGCTCCTAATGACAAGAATACATGATGATTGTAAGTTCCAAATGACAAGGCTCAGATGATTGTTTTGATTGCAAGTTCTTGAAAGCACTTGGACGTTATTGTAAGTTCCTAATGACTAGGGTACATATGATTGTTCTTCAAGACACTGGTACAAGATGATAGTATGAAGATGGATGTCATCAATGTGGTCTAAGATGCATCAATATTAGAGTTGTGATGATATATCGTAGTATCGATAATCGTGATACTTTTTCTGACAATAGATATATCGATACTTTTTTCTGTATCGTGATATGTATCGTTGAATTAAAATTGTGAATTTTCACCAGAAATTGATGGTCATGTCAAAATTTAAACTGTTTCTTGTTATCAAAATACACTTTTTTAAAGAAAATAACTAAAGATAGCATATCGTGATATGCATCGTATTAAATCGTATCGTTCCATGATATCGTAATAAGTATCATATCGTGAAATTTCTGTATCGTCACACCTCTAATCAATATGTTCTTGCAGGTGTTTTTCTCTGTGTTGATTGGTGCCTTCTCCCTGGGAAATGCAGCTCCAAGTCTACAAGCTCTAGCCACAGCACGAGGAGCGGCATACACAATCTACAAACTCATTGATCTGGTAGGTACAAGGCTTGTCTTAGCTTGTTTATGTAAGGCTTTTTGGACTTATTTATAGTGAGTTGGCTGACAGTGTCTATTCCTGTATTATTTGAATTGAGGAATCCTGTGGTTAAACTTACTGAATTTACTTACTTCCATTTACTTACTTCCTTGCAGGAACCAACCATAGACAGCAGCTCCCCTGCAGGGAAGAAACCACAGTCATTGAGTGGAACAATACGATTCAGCAACGTCCACTTCAACTACCCCTCCCGTCCAGATGTTAAGGTATTTAGTACTCGTGTGGTGTTGCATTGTACTGCCCATCAACCAGAAAAGAGATCGGGTCTTCAGTGAGCCATTCTTGTTGGAAAAATGGTATCGGGTGGTCAGGTTCACTGGCTAGGTTGATGCATGTGATTGTTTCACAACTTGATGCCCACGTTGTCAATCACTGGATTGTCTGGTCCAGACTTGATTATTTACCAGAGGACCAGATAAGCTGCGTATCCGGGGTAAAATACGCATATCAAATTTCCAATTACGCATTTAGAAAGTAATTGTTGCGTACCAATTACGCATTTAAAATGTTAGATACGAAAAAAGTTTAAAACAAATGCGTACGGAATATATTTATAAAAATCGCTTGCGTAATGAAAAAGACATCGATTGCTATCAAGTTGTACTGTTAGTATAGGACAAGTGTTGTACTGTCAGTATAGGATGAGTGATTTTTTATGAAATCATTTCCATTATATTTAACTTGGTTTTGATTAGGTATAAGGCAGAACATACCTGCTTAGTAAACTTACTCAAAGACATAATACTTAGGTGAGTAATATGACTGAAATACACACATATTTGAAAGCAGTGGGTAACGGAAAATGAAATACCCACTCAACATTCATAATACCCACTCCAACAAAATACAGTGGGTATAGTACCCACATGAGCTAAATCTTATCTGGAGCTCTGATTTACCAACCACCTTGGTATGACTGGAGTATTGATGAGTGTGGAGTCACACAACAAGCAAACAACCATCGTCATGAACAATATGATAAGATGTCACAAACTGAGAATATTATATATCTTAACAATAGCCCGTGAAAATCTGTGTTAGAATTGATCTTCAGTAACTCATGCTTGTCGTAAGAGGCGACTAATGGGATCAGGTGGTCAGGCTCGCTGACTGGGTTGACACATGTCATCGGTTCCCAGTTGCGTAGATCGATGGTCATGCTGTTGATCCCTGGATTGTCTGGTCCAAACTTGATTATTTACAGACCGCCGCCATATAGCTGGAATATTGTTGAGTGTGGAGTAAAGCTAAACTCACTCACTCACTCTGAACAGTAGACCCCAGTGAAGCTTCTTATAAGGGATGATTATTCCTTTTGTCTTGAAATGTCAGTGTGTAATTCACAGCACAGCCAAATGAGGGTCTCAACAGATTGTCTGTACATCAAGCAATTTTTGTTTTCACAAAGCTCTTCTAATATGACATTCCTAAAGACATACACCAAAATATGTATAGATGTCATTACATTTGAGGTTTAAGAGAAAACGTTCCAGATTATTGTGATGACAGTACCGCACACTATTTCAGATCCTGAATGGCCTGAATCTGGAGGTTCGTCAAGGCCAGACCGTGGCGCTAGTGGGAGCTAGTGGTTGTGGGAAGAGCACCACTGTCCAGCTTATCCAGAGGTTCTACGACCCATCCAGTGGATCTGTAAGTAAATCTTTAGCTTCAGGGTATTAGGTCACTGAGCAGGGTTGTTTGGCCCGTGAAGATCTGTGTTAGAACTGATCTTCAGCAACCCATGCTTATAATGAGAGGCGGCCAACGGTGAGGGCAACCATATGATATGTTCCCACTTCATATTCACGGGTACCACCCCAGGTTCTAAGCATAATTTATAGGTTTTGTGACCAAATCATGGAAGGCACCACACTTCAATTATATAAGCAGGGCTCAGTTTAAGAGATGTTAACCTACTTGCACCAGGTGCAACCTAAGATAAAAACCTAGTTGCACCTGACAAATTCCAGGTTCACTGCTTTTATTGCAATATGTAATGAAAGAAAAATGCTACTGAATTATTTAGATGTTTTATTTAGAAGTTTACCAACTAAAAACTTGACTTGCACCTGGTGCAAGTTGGACTAATAACTAGGTTGCACTTTGTAATATTTGGTTGCACCAGTGCAAGTAACAAAGCACTAGATCAAGCCCAGATAAGGTTTCACAAGTTTCTTTTTGTAAATGTGTCACTTATCTTGGCTTGATGATAAATTCTATTGTATGATATTGTCATATTTTCGCATTTTTATAAGAGTGATTTATTTTTTTAATAATTTATGGTTTTTATATTCCTACTGAAGAATGACTTGATAGAAGATCATGTGATACCAATATTTCATCATATTTATTCTTTAGAGAAGATTAAAAGAACATCCCCAGTTCCACAACGTGATCATAGCTCTCTCGGTAGCAGACAGTAGACTTACCCATGGCATTGTGAGGGGCAGTGGGGTAGCCTAGTGGTTAAAGCGTTTGCTCGTCACGCCAAAGATGTGGGTTTGGTTCCCCACATGGGTACAATATGTGAAGCCCATTTCTGGTGTTCCCCGTGTGATATTGCTGGAATATTGCTGAAAGTGGTGTAAAACTGAAACTCACTCACTCACTCATGGTGCTGTGGTCACTTTGTGAAACAGGACCCAGGTTGAATAACTGTATTTCTGTAAAGGTACAAAAATATTGGTATCAAGATATCCAGTTTGTTTTCTTCTTTTCATGAGTAACCTTGGATGAACTTTCAGGTCATGCTGGATGGCAATGACATTAAAGATCTCAATATCCGTTGGCTACGTGAACACATTGGCATCGTCAGCCAAGAACCTATCTTGTTCGGCACAACCATCGCTGACAACATCCGCTATGGCCACGAGGGCGTCTCGCAGAGCGAGGTAGAAGCTGCTGCCAAAAATGCCAACGCTCACGACTTTATCATGGGCCTCCCGGAGGTAAGTTGTTGCACAACAAGGTTTTGCAAAAACAGGCGTCGAATATATAACGTGACACAGTCTTGATGGATTTCCTCAGAAAATGTCTGGAGTCTCTGAGCAACATCATATGACACAAGTTAGCTGACATGACAGCATCTGAACTGTTAGATTTTATGTGTTTTGGGTGGTACTGATTAGGACTGCATTGTATTAATAAGGCCACTTGTATAGTGCTGAACTCCATGCAGCAGGGACAACATGATGAACATTACTACCCCAATAACCCAAGGTGCCTGTGAGGTGCTAGAAGGTTAATAGCCATATGACTTATACCACCGGGTACCCATTTTCTGCTGGGTGAACAGAGGCAATTTTGAACAAACTCACTTGCCTAGGGTGAGACAACATGTGGGACAGGACTGAAGTCCTGGAAACTCTCAGGAGTCAAGCTGCCAAACACGGTCACTCATCCAAGGACTCTCCATGCCCAACGTCGCGTAACTTCAACTGAATTTTGACCTGGGGGTCCTTTCACAGAGCAGTCAGGTGATCTTGAGTCACTAAAGTAACCTTGGTGCAATGTTAAAGAATGGGAGTTCAGGTTAACCTTAGTAAAAGTTGCTTTGTGAAAGGAGCCCCAGAGCTCTATGCACACACTAACAGTATATTAGGAAATGGATTTCAAATTGTGGTCACCTGTGAAGATCTTGGTTAGAATTGGTCTTCTAATGGGATTGGGTGGTCAGGCTTGCTGACTTGGTTGACAAATGTCATCGTATCCCAACTGCGTAGATTGATGCTCATGCTGTTGATCACCCTAACTCCGATAATACTGTAATGTGTATTGGAGTACTGATGCTCTATGGGACGGTGGGGTAGCCTTGTGGTTAAAGCGTTCGTTCGTCACGCTGACGACCCAGGTTCGATTCCCAACATGGGTACAATGTGTGAAGCCCATTTCTGGTGTCCCCTGCCGTGATATTGCTGGAATATTGCTAAAAGCGGCGTAAAACCAAACTCACTCACTTGCTCACTGATGCTCTCTATTTCAATATGTGGAAATACAGTGTATGACCAAAGCACAGCTCTAGCATTGATTACTTTATAAAATAAGTTGTGCTTGTACTGTACTTGACTTTTGTTGTGTTTAAATCTGGTGCTGATGCCTCTTCTGTAGCTGTTGGGGCGGTGGGGTAGCCTAGTGGTTAAAGCGTTGGCTCATCACACTGAAGACCTGGGTTCGATTCCTCACATGGGTACAATGTGTGAAGCTCATTTCTGGTGTCACCCACCGTGATATTGCTGGAATATTGCTAAAAGCGGCGTAAAACCAAACTCACTCACTCACTCACTCTGTAGCTGTCAGCCTCCTCTGTTGCAGAAAGGACTTCATTGTTCACATTGATCCATCCAGTGTTTGTTTCTTAGAATGCGTTTGTTTGTTTTGTTTTCAGAGGTACGAAACTATGGTTGGTGATCGCGGAGCCCAGCTGAGTGGAGGTCAGAAACAGAGAGTTGCTATTGCCCGAGCTCTAGTGCGAGATCCCCGTATCCTTCTGTTGGATGAAGCAACGTCGGCCCTCGACACCGAGAGTGAATCTATAGTGCAGGATGCACTGGATCATGTGAGTGATGAGGCTGGCATTTTCTGATACAACAGAAAGAGGTCACCAAATGGATGAGGTGGTCAGACTTGCTGACTTAGCTGACACATGTTATTTTATTCCAGTTGTGTTCATGTTCATGATGTATGCTCAGGGCTCGATTTAAGAGATGTTGACATACTTGCACCAGGTGCAACCTAAGATAAAGACCTAGTTGCACCAGCCAAATTCCAGTTGCAATGTAGTGTGTTCAAAGGTCACAGCTGATCCCTGTTTACATGAGCTGTCATAGCTGAGACGTGTCTATGAATAGCAATGTTTTGGTGCCATAGCTATTCAAAGTTTAGAAGAAAAGTGAGCTGACATATTTGTGTGTATAATGTTTGATTTATTTTTTATTTAATTCTCAGAAATTGACTTGCACCTTGTGCAAGTTATACTCATAACTAGGTTGCATTTTGTAATGTTGGGTTGCACCAGTGCAAGTAACAAAGCACTAAATCGAGGCCAGGATGTTGATCACTGGATTGTCTGGTTCAGACTCGATTATTTACAGAACGTTGCCATATAGCTGGAATATTGCTGAGTGCGGTGTTGGTCAACAATCCAACCAACCAGCTACCAAAGGGGTTTTATATTTCGATTGAGATTTATGTGGAGATAGCATGGTACATTGACATTGACCGCAGCCATATGGCTCGAATATTACTGAGCGCAGTGCTAAACAACTAGCAAACAATGTAAACGTTTGATCGGCATTGCTTAGAATTTTCACAGATGTGACGCAATATTAGGATATTGACTTCTTTATTAAACTGTAATGGCAAAAATCACATCCTATAATACAGTAAAATCTAGTTGTGATTCTGTCTATTTTGTTATTGTTCTTTTGGTCAATGGTTCACTGGATTGTCTGGTCCAGACACGATTATTCACAGACTGGAATATTGCTGAGTGAGGCGTTCAACAAGAAACAACCTGCTGGTCAGTGTTATTGGAAGCACAAGTTTTTCATTGTTTGTTTTGAATCTGTTTTCTGAATGTTTTTAGGCGCGAGAAGGAAGAACAACCATTGTTATCGCTCACCGTCTCTCCACTGTCAGGACAGCGGACATTATCGCTGGGTTTGATGGAGGTGTTATTACCGAGCAGGGCACTCACGACGAACTGATGGCCAAACAAGGCATCTACTACCAGCTTGTTACTAACCAGGTCAGCATTAGAGATTTACTCATTGTTAATATGTTCTGCAGTATAATAGTTCAAAAGTTAGGGTAGATCAGTCATCTTAGTTACATGATTTCACTTGGCAGAGTTCTGTCCCCTTGTCCAGCAGGATCCTATGTTCAGAGTTAGGGTAGCTCAGTCATCTTATATTTCACTTAGTTCTGTCCCAATCCTGCAGTATAATAGCTCCAGAGTTAGGGTAGCTCAGTCATCTTAGTCACACGATTTCACTTGGCAGAGTTCTGTCCCCTTGTCCAGCAGGATCCTGCAGTATAATAGCTCCAGAGTTAGGGTAGCTCAGTCATCTTAGTTACACGATTTCACTTGGCAGAGTTCTGTCCCCTTGTCCAGCAGGATCCTGCAGTATAATAGCTCCAGAGTTAGGGTAGCTCAGTCATCTTAGTCTTGGCAGAGTTCTGTCCCCTTGTCCAGCAGGATCCTGCAGTATAATAGCTCAGAGTTAGGGTAGCTCAGTCATCTTAGTTACATGATTTCACTTGGCAGAGTTCTGTCCCCTTGTCCAGCAGGATTCTGCAATATAATAGCTCCAGAGTTAGGGGATTTCACTTGGCAGAGTTCTGTCCCCTTCTCCAGCAGGATCCTGCAGTATAATAGCTCCAGAGTTAGGGGTAGCTCAGTCATCTTAGTCCTGCAGTATAATAGCTCCAGAGTTAGGGTAGCTCAGATTTCACTTGGCAGAGTTCTGTCCCCTTGTTGTCAGTATAATAGCAGGATCTTAGTTACTGCACTTGGCAGATAATAGCTGCAGAGTTAGGGGTAGCTCAGTCATCTTAGTTACATGATTTCACTTGGCAGAGTTCTGTCCCCTTGTCTAGCAGGATCCTGCAGTATAATAGCTCCAGAGTTAGGGTAGCTCAGTCATCTTAGTTACATGATTTCACTTGGCAGAGTTCTGTCCCCTTCTCCAGCAGGATCCTGCAGTATAATAGCTCCAGAGTTAGGGTAGCTCAGTCATCTTAGTTACATGATTTCACTTGGCAGAGTTCTGTCCCCTTGTCCAGCAGGATCCTGCAATATAATAGCTCCAGAGTTAGGGTAGCTCAGTCATCTTAGTCTCACGATTTCACTTGGCAGAGTTCTGTCCTCTTGTCTAGCAGGATTCTGATGCTTGCAAGATTTGCTTTGATTATGATCCTTGGTTTGTCGACATAGTACAAATTTTTGGTTTCACAACCAAATGACAATGATTAAAAGGTATACAAATTAGCACTAGCCCCTTTTGCAAATGTTTCACAAATGTGTCCTAAGGGCTGTATGAGTTGATATTCCTATCTGAATAAGTCATCAACGTTCAGACTTGAAGACATAAGGGTACTCTTTGTCCCTGAAACTATGCTAATTCAGTCCCTCCTGGATTCCGCAGTTGCAGAATAACTCGCAGAAATTACCTTTTTGATGCAGAAAAACGTCTTGTCCGCAGAAAACGAACTTTGATGCAGAATACCTGCAGAATTTCTCATTTGTCTGCCGTGAAATTTACTTCTTTTGAAAGTTGAATCAAGATTGACTATCAACCGAAGTGAAAAGTAGGGGTAAAGATCAAAAGTGTGATTGATTGCACAAAAATCAACTGAGACATTTGTTATAACGATATTTTCCAAATATCCACAAATAAAGATGATTTATTCATAAGGTAGTCTTTTCTTAAGCAACTTACAGTAATTTTGTTTGTTTTTTACAAGTTTTTACTGCAGATATGTTTGCAGATTTTTGCAAATGGGATGCAGAATTTACTTAAATTTCCCACGGAATTCGTTAAAAGATTTGTGGCGGAATCCAGGAGGGACTGCTAATTATGTAACTGATAGGACTGAAATACTGTTCAGAGTGGGCAATACCAACTGCTCTGAATCCTCATCGGCTGTGGGGTAGCTTAATGGTTAGAGTGTTTGCTCATCTCGTCGAGGACCGGGTTTGAAGTATACAGTGCGTGAAGTCCATTTCGTTCCCCGCTGTGATATCGCTTGAGTATTCCTACAAGCAGCATGAAACCTAATTCACACATTTTGTAAGATGTGCAGATATACGTAAACCTCACATTAAAATGGCCATGGGGTGGCCTAGTGGGTAAAGCATTTGCTCGTCATGCCGAGGACACCATTTCTGGTGTCCCTGCTTTGATACTGCTGGAATATTGTTAAAGGCGGCAAAAACCAAACTCACTCACGCTTTCACTATTACAATGTTCTTTAACACAGTAGGCCACTCTACCCAACTGCTAATGTTCAACTGTCTTTGTTTTCAGACCAAAGAAAGTGTAAGCATTCTGTGTCCTTAAGTACATGTGTTGTTAAATTGGTTACCTGTGAATAATGGCTGTAGAACACAATAAGGGGTTTGGTCCTATTATGTTTGATAATCTGTATATATTATATTAGTATGAAAAGTAAAGACCCTGCATGTTAGACAATAATTCCTTTGAATACCTTACCTCTATTACATCATTGCCATTTACAGAGATGCCAACCGCTATAATTTTATCATAAGTAAGCTACAAATTTTAGCCTCAAACTACATAATGATTGCACTATAAATTCTCGAAATTGGAAGAAAATTGATTAAAATTTGGATATAGAAAAACATATTTCGTCGATTAAATACATTTTCATCAAAAAGAGACAAGAAGAAATGTATTGCTGAATTTGGAAATCTGCTGTTTGGAGGTGTGTGAAATTAAAGTTTTACTCTTGATTAGTGTCATATTCTCTTTAATGATTTTAAGTATTTAGTTGACTACTCATTTTATGGTCAAACTACTAATTTTTATCCTTGAAACTACTATTTCCAACACTTTGGGGTTGGCATCTCTGCATTTATAAGTTCCCCATTTTGGTTTCATCACATCATAAAATTGTTTAGATTTTTAAAACACATCCTCTTATTTGTGATTTTATCAATGATTAGTTTTGAGGTAAACCCTATTCTCAGGAAGAAGTTGTGTCAGATTATACTGTGCTAAAAACTTAAAGGATCGTGAATATTTTGGGATATTTTGGTGTCCTCCCATTACGCAGACAGCCAGTTCGCAGACACCTTAAAACAACAACATTTACGGTTCAGTGAACAGATTATCTACTACCTGATACCTACATATTATAATGGAATATTCCAAATAAAAAACACAGGAACAAACTGAAGCTATATTATTTAATTTGAAAGATGGACGAAAAGATTTGTATTGCTGCAATATAAAAACAGTTTATTTTTATAAACATTTCGGTTTAACCTTCTAGTCTAACGGGAATCGGCATCATCATATTGAAAACATAAGCTTAGCTATTAGAAATTGCGACACTGTTCTATCATATAAATGAAATAAAGACAAATGTGAACCTAAATATTATTCATATTGACTAAAGAAGTTATATGTTTTGCACACAATAATATATATATATATATATATATATATATATATATATATATATGAGACGAGTGCACTTAATTACGATTTATTTAGAATTGATATTTAAAATATGACGCATCATGTTAATGTGGCCATGGATGTGAGAATATTTTTCAATTACTTACTTGAATGTCCATTGTATACTACTCAAAGACATAAACTGTTACAATCTTTAGAATGTATTGTTAAAATTAGAACACTGATTGGTATTAATTGTATCTTACATGGCAATGCAGGTGTCTCATTTACTGCAAATCAGAATGTTTTCAAATATGTACATATCTATATCTCTCCAACAAAACGTTTTCTCAGTTAACTTCTGTTGTACATGTACTACTATTGGAAGGGGGTCTTTTCTATCAATAAACACAATCAAACCTCTCAGTGACAAACCTGTTTTTATATTCGATAGTAATTGATAGTAAAATCAATTTTGAGAAGAGAAATCATTTATCATTTAATCACAACAAAGTTCTATTTACAATCAAACTTCTCAGTAACGAGCCTGTTTCAGACTCACCCTGCTCTACTCACTAGACAGTGGACTGTTCCATTATACCCGTAGGTGTTACCCTAATTAACCTTCTAGATCAGTGTCTGTCAATTGGGTGTCTGTCAAATGGGTGTCTGTCAATTGGGAGATAACCGATATTTTTGGGTAGTGAACACTTAGTGTACAATTTATGTAAAAATATATGTGCAATTTATGAAAATAATCCCCCAAAATAGTCAATCTCCCCAAAATGTTTTGTTAGTTTTGTGTTAGATAATCTGTGACAACGCTCTTTGGTTATCATCATCAATTAATCGATACAAAATATCATTTCTAATGAATTTTTCAGAAGAACAAAAAAAAAAAATCATGTCATAGTGCATAAAAGACGAACTAGAGGTGAAATTCGAATTTGATGTCCCACCTGTGTCTTAGTCTTTAGGAAAACATCTTTCCGGCTGAAAGATAAATTGTCACAGACTTCTGGTTCTATAAATCATTTTGAGCATTTGTTTGGAGAACGCTAGAATTTTGAAAGCAGATTCATGTCAAATAACAGAAGCCTTTTTATTGGCTGTTGATATCAGAGTTATGAGTGAAACAAATCGGTGTTTATTTGGTTATATGTGAGTTTGAATAGGTGACATCACTTCCTGAATGAATTCATATTGTTGATTGGTGCAGGGTTTGTATTCAAATAGAATGGGGAATTAGTACACAGGTACATCAACCGTGACGTTGTCCAAGATGTTCTCTATTATCATGGTTGTTGTATTCATATGCATCACTTCGGCATGTTTCCTTTTTCAACTGTTCTATAATTCCACTTTTAGCTAAGGTCAATTCTGTATTCAGCTTTTGCTACTGTTTAACAATGTTCTGCCTGCATGATTACAGTATCTAGATTTGTTGTGTTATTCAACCTTTTCCTTGCTTATATGTCCTTATTTTCTAATTTATTCATAAAGATTATTTGTGCATAATGAAATGGGGCAGTGGGGTAGCCTAGTGGTTGAAGCGTTCGCTCGTCACGCCGAAGATCCGGGTTTGATCCTTCACATGGGTACAATATGTGAACCCATTTGTGGTGTCCCCTGCCGTGATATTGCTGAAATATTGCTAAAAACGGAGTAAAAATAAACTCACTCATAATGAAATGATCAGTTTTCAATCATCAAATTCTTCGGGGACCGACCAATGTCAAATCATTTTCCACACACGTTTATCAAACATAAAAATTGGGTGTAGCTGTTATCAAGAAATCCCATGTAAATGCTACAGATGAACATTGTTGTGTCACACCCAAAGAACCTGGGAGAAATATTTTAACTGCTGTTGGTCTTTGACTCATTTACAACACAAAAACATTGATCTTTCTACCACAAATTACTGAATGGAATCGTTAAACATTTAATGCATCTTATTTTTGATTCAAGATACTAAATGATGCAACCTTGTACATTTGTGTCAAACAGTATAATTTAGTTACTTTGCCTCAAGTCTGAAGGCTCTAGTCTTGTAAGGAGCAGTGGGGTAGCCTAGTGGTTAAGGTGTTCGCTCGTCACGCTGAAGACCCGGGTTTGATTCCCCACATGGGTACAATGCGTGAAGCCCATTTCTGGTGTCCCCCGGGGTGATATTGCTGGAATATTTCTAAAAGCGGCGTAAAACTAAACTCACTCACTCACTCAAGTCTGAATGCTCTTGTCTAGTAAAGATCTGTTCAGTCCTGCAGCTGTTAAAACTGAAATGTTCTGAAAATTTCATCAGGATCCAAGTTCTGGTTAATGAATTAAGTGTTTGGTCACAATGCAGTGTAAGTTTGAGATGACTGAAAATTTGACCCATCGGATTTGACACATGAGACTTCAGACAAGATGGCGGTACTATACAGTCAGTAGGACACAACATTGTTCTGCTGTATATAAAATGTTGCATGTATCTTGCCAGGTAAACCAGGCTGTCATGGCTGGTTCTTTAACCCAGGGAATACTTTGGCGATGAGATTCAACTGACTTTCTGTTTTTCAAAAAACAAATATTTCACACTGTCCATGTATTTTTACCCATGAATACTGCTCCTGTTTGGAGCATTTCACAATTTTATAAAAAATCCAGAATTGCGTTACCGTGACTTTAAGGTTTTGACTTTTTTGGGTTCCAAAATTTTCTGTATTGCTTAAAACACCCGTTATTTTGTAATTGAATTCAATCTTGTGCAAGTCATTGAAATTTGACTTATTCAGTGTGCATTATGAATATTTTAATTGATTAAACTCTAATATAGCAGTTGAATAATTTAAAGAAATGTGAAATGTTTGTTTTGGGATCAGTTCCATTGTTCATGTTCCCTGGATTTGACCTTCCTGTTTTAAAACTTGCTTACTGCTTCTGTTGAATGTAGTGTTATGGGAACAGTTGCTTCAAGTATTACAATTTCATCCTCTGTAACCTCTTCACATTTTCTCATAGGCATGATTCACTCAAATCAGCCCCATAACAACCCCATATAACAGCAGATGCTGGAGATTGTCAAATAAATTCATCCTATTAATTTCAAGTACAATAAATTAATACATTGACCACCATCATTTTTCGCCTTTCATATCGTTCTTTCAGTTTAACCTGCTCGTAAATTGATAATTCTCTGCTTTACTTTAATATTGATATAACTTTCTTCTGTTAACTTCATCAGTATCATTTTAACATTTTAATATTCATTGGGGAAGGCTTGTAACAAAGCTCCTTGAAATTGACTGTTTTGAGGATTAAAACTGATAATTTCTCTCTTACTTTCAGACCAAGGCAAAGAAACCAGAAGATGGTATGTATTGTCCGTTTTGTCTTTGTCTATATGTATTGTCGGTGTACAAAAGTAAGACTATTAATCTGAAATAAACGCCTCCCTATAAGTCCTTGGATGCTTTCTGATCTTTCTTGTGAAAACAAAATCAGTGGCCACACTGGTTAGCTTAATATATTAGTGAGCTCTAATATATAAACCTTGTTCCCTATCACAAATTAAAAATATTCACTTAAAAAATGAGACCAATTTCTGCAAAGAGTAATATATCTTGTTATTTTGCTCCCCCAACTAGTTTGGAAAAGAGTCTGCAGCATTATTAGTATCAACATGCTAAATAAATATTTATATTGACTCTGATTGAAGTTTGAATGTTTTCTTGAAATAATTTTTATTTTCCTGCACCCAGATTCCTAATTGTATTTGTTAAAAAATATTTGTTTTTTTTTATGCTTCTGAAACATTTCTTGTTTTCTAATCGCATGAATAACTGTATAGTGTCTCCGTTACTTCAAAACAATTTAGTTTAACAAGCCTTCATCTGAGTGTTTATAATGCCTGTGACGAAGCATCATGTTGACGAGTAAGTAAACACTGACATCCAAAAATATACAATCTGACGATGCTATATCATGTTGATAATTTAGGTTTTAAGGTTTTTGTAATTATGTTCAATTTATGTCCCACATTTGTGTTTGTCATGCTTTCTGAAGAGGCTGCAACACCAGGTAAGAATCTTCACAGGTAACGCGATGAGTTGTGAGATTCAGTCAGGCAAAACTTTGTTACACAATTTTATGATTTTCGGTAAACCATTTTTGGTAGAGCCAAATGAACATATGCTTCTCGAAAAGAAATTTTATTTTACAAATTGTTTCATGTTACTGTAGGGGATGGTGGGGTAGTCTAGTGGTTAAAGCATTCGCTCGTCTCGCCGAGAACCCGGGTTCAATTCCTCACATTGGAACAATGTGTGAAGTCCATTTCTGGTGTCCCCCACCGTGATATTGTTGGAATATTGCTAAAAGCAGCGTAAAACTGAACTCACTCACTCACTTACTCATATTATTGTGACAGATGCCCCACAATCAACCACACCCGAAGTATAGACCATGTGATATTAGCTGGCCATAACAACAAGCAGAGATTGATGGGGATCTCTTTTTCCCTTGAATCCACATTTTTGGGTTGAAGATGACGGTTACTGCATGAGTGTTAGATACCATTTATTTTACGAGTTTTTTAGAAATGTATCTAATGAGTGAAAAAAAATGGTATCTAACAGGCCATTCTCTTCCCACAGAGGTTACTCCTGTCATATCTTCCTACATAACCTCTGTTCTAATACGGCCATATTTCCCGGTCCTCGTAAAATCCCCTAGCGGCAAAAGATCGCAACACGAATTATCTCCCTTCTTTCTATCCAATCAGAACACGTGTTACATCGACTTAGATTCAATTTGACTAACACAAGCAAATGCGGGGCCACAAATATCCCCCATCTACCGGGGAATTGTGTTGATGTTACACACAAGACGTTTAATGGCTAGCTTGTCCGTTGTCAACGAGGGCGATGGAGACGCCATTGATACGCCATTACATGACTGAGTTCTGTCTAGAAGAAACGTTTGCGCATCGCGCTCGGGAAGAGGTTCTAGTTTTCCCGAAGCATACGGAAATTACCGAGGCCTTGCGAATGATCACTTTTGAAACAACGTCGCTGATTGCACAACTAAATCGGCTTGTCTCCAATCACGAGCCTTGAACGCTGACACCAAGAAAGGGTCGTATTAGAACAGAGGTTATGTAGGAAGATATGACAGGAGTAACCTCTGTGGGAAGAGAATGCTAACAGGCATGAGAAGTAATCTTTTCCTGGCACATCCTAAAATCACACCATTTTTGCATCAAATGGACATATATTTTCTCAATTTTCGTGATCACAGTGGTGCATTAATACATAACACCATGGTCATTTAGGACATCATACGGCATCCTGCTTACTTGGAATATTTATTCTCTTTCTAAAACCGTAAACTTTTGGTCAACCTGGTCAAAGGATGACAATCTTATCGGTAGAGAAGTCAGGAAAGTGTCTGCCTTATCTGACCTCAGGTCGTCACCATGGAGTAGCCAATCATGGACCTGGAATTCAATCTCACAAGTACGTGTTTGATACCAGTTCCCTCCCATGAGTGAATGAGTGAGTTTGGATTTTAGGCTTGGGACACCAGAATCGGCTTCATACATTGTACCCATGTGGGAATTGAACCCAGGTCTTTGGAGTGATGATTTTCCTTATCCTGACTCATGCTCTTTTTGCTTGTCTTCTTCTTCTTGCGAACATAGTGGAACACTTGTATCTCTCCTAATTGAAGCTCCTTCAATTTAAAATCACTAATTAGTATTCACCACGAGTTACCTCCTTTCCACAAGTGGAGGGAGCGAGAGCGACCCTCTACCCATGTGCCTCACTCTCTCCTTCTTAGCCCAGTGAGCTGGGCGTGAGAGCGCCTGTGTCTCCGACACACTATATCCTTTGAATTATATTTAGTTAGTTACCTCGTATAGACATCTATAGAGGTTTAGCTAGTATCCTTCAGCGATTATATATTGATATTTAGTCGTTTTTCTACAGTTTATTCACGGGGCCGTGTTTGTTTCAGTGGATTACGTTGATGAAAATTCTGTACTATTGCAGATTACGTTTTTATGCTGCTGCTGATCCGCCTTTAATATGATATGCGGTAGCCATGTTTATTATATTCACATTGCAGTTCGCGGTACTAATTTATCAATTCTACCTTTTTATTAATATTTACTGCGTTTGTGCGCACAGCAGATAGGTGGCGTATGCAGAGTCTAGTATGACTGATACACGGAACCCTCGCCAGTCTACTGCTGTTGGCCGACTCCCCTCCCGTGTGGTGTTCGCTAGAGTGGTGGAGAGGTGTGGGGCGTAGTCCGCCATCTCAAAGCATCCTGCTTCCCCAGACATCCCATCGTCGCAGCAGAAGACTAGAGGGTTTTCTACTACATCTCAACAACCGAGACCGTTCCCATCGAGTTTTGGGCCTGTATGATGATCAGCCGGTCATCATACGGATGTACATCAAAGATTGACCGATGTCGGCACAGATCAGCATGCAGCCTGATGTACCAAGCGCAGATATCGATGATGTCGTCCTGAGGGTCCCATCATTACCAACACTCCAGCGCAGGCGTCGCACACCCAGGGCAGCGTCGACCTCTGAGGAAAATCAGCGAAGTCTACTAGGACTTTCTCAGCGAGATTGTTCCAGCCGATGACCTGGACCTCTCGATGATCAGCTGATCATCATCCCGGCGTCACGCCACAAGAAGCGACCGGTGACAGCTACAGCGACATCAGCAGAGATCACCATGCAGCCTGATGCCTCTACACTGATGTCGGACGATTTTCGGTGGACCCCTCCATTAACACACGCCAGATAAAGCACCGGCGACCTGCGTCGCAGACCATCCCAGAAGACATGATCGACAAATTATGAACATCATGGAGGACCAATATCTGCGGTAGCAGGGTCGAAACCAGCGAAGGCTCCAGCGTGAACAACACCCAGAGGCACCCCGTCAGCGTAGCAGCCAGGGCGATGTCACTTCGGCGAAGGAAGTCACGGACCACCTTGGCGAAGGACCTAGATGTACAGCCAGCGAAGGCGAAGGCAGCGGCGGAAAGGACCTAGATGTACAGCAGCCGGCGGCGGAAAGAACCTAGATGTACAGCCGGCGAAGGACTTAGCGAAGGCAGGATAAATCATCACCTTATGCGGTTTCATCCCTAGATGTGGACTCGGACCATCAGACATCGCGGAAGCCAGCCGAAGGTCATATCGTCGTTCCCCGGACGGACGCAGAGGAAGCAGCGAAGGCATCGTGAGACACCTGAATCAGATCATCATCATCTAGAAGGACATCGAGGGACTATACAAGAGCTTAGCGAAACTATCAGCGTTCCCCTCACAAGTCTCGAGAAGATCAACCCATAGACAAGTTGATCATCGATATCAAGTATAAGAACTACAATCGTATATTGGTTCTGTTGAATCCATGGCGAGGCGTATGTTAAGCTGGCCTAAATAGATCTAGAGCGATCAATTAGACACTTATCACCAGACTTAAGTAACCACGACTTACTGAATATGATAAGATGATCCATGCGGCCCTACTTAGGCAAAGCAGCCGATCCACATCCTGTTAAACACAGAGGCTGTTCCGCGAAGCAAAAGCTCATATATATATTTATATATATATATATATACTAATCGGGCTTTGACTTCGACACCTTAGCGATGGTCGCGAAGGCTAAGTAACTCAAGTCTACTTCACCCAGAAGATCTAGAAGGGATGCCGAGAACTTAGCAGCGAAGTCTCGGCGTTCACCGAGGAAGTCTCCTCCAAGGTTTCCATATACTAGCCACTTTCGTCATATATAGCTACTTTCGTCAGTCCGTTCAAGGCGTCGCATAAGTTGATTATCAACTGTATGCCAGATGCGATCTATAAGCCTCTGCGAAGATAATTGCTCAGGCTATTTACAACACAGAGCGTGGCTGTATTATTAGTCAGCGACATTTCATAGATCTTCACAGAAATCAACTATTCATTATAAATTGCTAATATACAATCCCGGACGGCGATCACGATTATCTACATGCGTGACCATTACGCATATCTGCGAACAATTCAATATCGAAATTGAACAGCAGCCTTGTTACAGCGAGTATAACTCTTAATCGTCAAAGTTTCTGAGAAGAAATATGTACAACAAGTTCAGCGTTAATTCTACAATTATGGCGATACATTCATGTATACAGTCTACAAGCTCACAACTTGCAAGTTGTTTATACCCTTATATATAAGGAAGTGAATTATATTCAAAACTGAAATTACTTTCCCGACAACCAGGAAAATAACCTACCCAGCATAAAATTACAGGCGAGATATTTCGGCGGAGGTTTTCAGCGGTTACCATTAACCCTCGAAACCGTGGTCACTTTCGGATAACCGGGAAGCTACGGTGAAGACCGGCGTTTATGCTAATATCAGCGGCGACAAGAATTTATTCAAGGTGGGTTTTTCCGCTACACGGTGACATCACAGCGGGTATTATACAGAATCAAAATGCCTTGTTCTGATTGGACGCGAGGGACAGCGACCTACACAGAGGTCGATCTCTATTCACAGTTCAAGACTTACGTCACAAGTGACAACTATATATCAGTGAGCGAGCAAGCCTCATTACAGTCCAGTTAACCTGAACATTCATGATTAGACTGCCTTTCTTCAAGTTAGAGACCTCCCTGTCAAGTTAAGGCGAGGGATCGGCAGTCAGAAGCGATTTTTTACATAAAGTTCAGCGAGGACAGACACACCTGGTTGTGCACCTACATCGTCAAAGGACTTAGCTTGGCGAATTACCTAGGCGAAGATACAAGTGGATCTAAATCCACAGCGTTTCAGACTACAGCTGAATTTCATCAAGCGACTAACACAACTAGATGGTTAGTAAACCTACTAAACTTCTGTTTGGAGAATAAAGCGGAAATTTCCGCCCAACCTGGGGATATGAATATAGTGCTCCAACACCTCACAAGTGAGGTTTATGAACAACGCCTGGATGACATACTTGGACCCCATGATACGATGATTCTATCAAGATGGCCAGCAAGAGCACTGTAAATTTATCTCCACCAAACCAAACAGGAGGAAAAATGCAACAGATTATTTCCTCTATCATCAACTTCGCAGAGTGAAGTCTCATGTACTATATCTCCATTTGGATCAGAACTGTCATACTCGTGCATATATGCGGATGGACCTATTCCGACCCTCCATGAGCTTAATACTCATGATATTATATAAGCTAACTTCTACAATTGTTCTACACAAATGTGATTGAAATAATGGAGGGTTTATTTCTGGAAATCCGATATGGTGGTTGCAAACCATTATCTGAGAGATATCACCACCGAGGGCGTCTCAGGTATACACCAATTCGATCCCATGGTCCTCGCACAACAGCTGACAGTTCCTCGGAGAAGATAAGTCAATCTAACAGATTTTTACTTATCTTATAACAATACTAAATAGCTTCATGCTATATATAATTTACTTAAGTTCCTTTTATCATCACAGTACTATGATTATTACATCATACAATATATAAGTTAACAACTCTACAGAGTTTGTTATTATATATATTTACCTTAAGTTATTCATATCTTAAGAGTAATACTATGGTTACATGATAAATGCATTAGCTAACAAACTCTACAGAGTTTTTGGCTATTTATACATAGCTTAAGTTAATTAAGCTAACAAACTCTCTGGAGTTTTACTATTATATAGGTAACTTAAGCTAATTATACCTTAAGCATAGTACTATACTCATATTATTAAAATATATTGGCTAACAAACTCTAAGGAGTTTTGCTATTATATAGGTAGCTTAAGCTTATTCATATCTTAAGCTTAGTACTATGTTTATATCATATAAGTAGATTAGCTAACAAACTCTAAAGAGTTTTTGCTATTTGGCTTAAGTATCATCATATTTCTAAGCAATATGGTTATATTATAACATGTATTAGCTAACAAACTCTACAGAGTTTTAGCTATTATATATGTAACTTAAGCTTATTCATATCTTAAAGCAGTACTATGTTTATATCATATAGGTATATTAGCTATCAAAACTCTAAAGAGGGTTTTGCTATTATATATTTAAGCTTAAGTTTCATCATATTTTAAGCTTTATGGTTACATTATAACATGTATTAGCTAACAAACTCTCACGGAGTTCTTGCTATTATATATGTAGCTTAAGTTTTCCTTCATAAGCTCAATACTAGGTTTATATCATAGCTAACAAACTCTAAAGGGTTGTTTTAAGCTATTATACAATTAGCTTAAGTTTTCATCATATCTTAAGCAGTATGTTTACATTATAAAGGTATTAGCTAACAAAACTTCGGCGGAGTTTTTGTTATTATATATATATAGCTTAAGTTTCATCATAACTTAAGCTCAGTACTATGTTTTTAACATAAAAGTATATTAGTTAATAAACTCTAAGGAGTTTATTTTGCTATATACATTTAGCTTAAGTCTAATCTTATCTTAAGCTTAGTACTATGGTTACACTATAAACATATTAGCTAATAAACTCTACAGAGTTTTTGGCTATTATATATGTAGCTTAAGTTAATAATATCTTAAGCACAATACTATACTCATATTGTAAAATATATTAGCTAACAAACTCTCACGGAGTTTTGCTATTATATATGTAGCTTAAGTTCATTATATCTTAAGCACACTACTATACTCATATTGTAAAATATATTAGCTAACAAACTCTCACGGAGTTTTGCTATTATATATGTAGCTTAAGTTAATTATATCTTAAGCACACTACTATACTCATATTGTAAAAATATATTAGCTAACAAAACCCTACAGAGTTTTGCTATATATATGTAGCTTAAGTTAATTATATCTTAAGCTCAGTACTATACTAATATTATAAAAATATATTAGCTAACAAACTCTACAGAGTTTGGCTATTATATATGTAGCTTAAGTTAATTATAGCTTAAGCACAGTACTATACTCATATTATAAAAATATATTAGCTAACAAACTCTACAGAGTTTTGCTATTATATATGTAGCTAAAGCTTATTCATATCTTAAGCTCAGCATTATATCTATATCATATAAGTATATTAACTAACAAACTCTAAAGAGTTTGCTATTATATAATTAGCTTAAGTTTAATCATATCTTAAGCTTAGTACTATGTTATATCTTAAAGTATTTTAGCTAACAAACTCTAAGGAGTTTATACTAGCATATTAACAAGCTTAAGTCTATTAGTCTTAAGCATTGTATTAATGTTATATATACTTTATCATAATAAGTACATGGTAATAACCTTTTATATGGCAGCTGATAAGTTAGCAGCAGGAATTCATCAGTTCAGTGCCTTTATGAAGTTCCCATAGGGTTATTACAATCATCACAGTTCAAATCACTAATTATTAAAATCCAAAGTATTAGATATTCCCACCTCCGTTCCGTAGGATGCTACAAACAAAAGAGCATGAGTCAGGATAAGGAAAAATATGTAATTTTGGAGTAAAATTGATATTTTATACTTATCCTGACTCATGAGGTCAGCCCTCCCATCCTCCCAAATAACACTTTGGATTTCCCTGTAAATTCAAATGTTGGGCTCAGTATATGAGGAGAGAGTGAGGCACATGGGTAGAGGTGAAGCCCTCGTTCAGCTTGTGGAAAGGAGGTAACTTCGTGGTGAATACTAATTAGTGATTTTAAATTGAAGGGAGCTTCAATTAGGGAGATACAAGTGTTCCACTATGTTGCAAGAAGAAGAAGACAAGCAAAAGAGCATGAGTCAGGATAAGTATAAAATATCAATTTTACTCCAAAATTACATTTTACATGTCATGGTATCGCAATTAAGTAGATCGATGCTCATGATGTCAATCACGGGATTGTCTAGCCCAAACCCAAATGTTTACATGACGTCGTATAGCTGGAATACGTTGAGTGTGGTGACCGAAACTATTCCTCGAACTATAGAAGTGAAAGGCCATGACAGATGCTACTGCAACTTAAACAATGAATCAGGTATGCAAACTTCATCTGTGACCGGTTGATCAGAAAGGATCGTGAAAAGATGGAACTCCCATATTTAGGTCAAATCACTGGATAGGTTTTAAACATCAGTAATCAGTGTTCAGACTGTTTCGTTACTGTCTCTCACTTATCAAGTGCCCCTGGACACAATGGAGACTGGACACAACATCCCATGTACGTCGAACCCGTGAAGAATTGATCTTCAGCAACCCATGCTTGTCATAAGAGGCGAATAACAAGATCGGGTGGTCTGACTTGGTTGATACATGTCATCATATCCCAGTTGATCAATGCTCAAGATGTAAATCACTGGATTGTCTAGTCTAGGCTTGATTATTTACAAACCACCGTAATGCTGAGTGCGGCATTAAACAACAACCAACCATGGAAGCGGATTCAACAAGGATGCTGTTTTACTTTTGCAGGTGTACCAGAAATCTATAGAGGAGCAAGACAGGGATGTGAGAATGTATGCCCTCATCCTCCTGGGGCTTGGAGTCCTGAGCTTGATTACAAACTTCGCACAGGTAAACCCACCCACCCACTCACTCACTCACTCACTCACTCACTCACTCACTCACTCACTCACTCACTCACTCACTCACTCACTCACTCACTCACTCACTCACTCACTCACTCACTCACTCACTCACTCACTCACTCACTCACTCACTCACTCACTCACTCACTCACTCACTCACTCAAATTCAAACACTGACATTTCAAAAGCCAGGGTGTGAGAGTGTTGGTGTTTTTAAACTACTTTAGACTGATATTTATCTGATCAAAAATGGGTTTTACAAATATCTGTCTACTAAACAAGTCCAAAAGGTGCCCAGAACAATGATTATTTTCTGGAACTGTTGCAATTTAGATCTGTCAAATCATTATAGACAAACTCTTGGGTCTGGAGACAAGCTAATGCTTTATTTCAAGTTACAGGGTAGCTTAGTGGTTAAAGCAATAGCTTGTCATGCTGAAGACCTCGGTTTGATTCCCCACTTGGGTACAATATGTGAAGCCCATTTCTGGTGTCCACTGCAATGATATTGCTGAAATATTGCTGAAACTAGTACAAGCCGCATGAAACCATACTCACTTACTCCTTAAGTTATAATCATATGTGGGGCGGTGGGGTAGCCTAATGGTTAAAGCGTCGGCTCGTCACGCTGACGACCCGGGTTCGAATCCCCACATGGGCACAATGTGTGAAGTCCATTTGTGGTGTCCCCCGCCGTGATATTGCTGGAATATTGCTAAAAGCGGCGTTAAACCCAACTCACTCACTCACTATAATCATATGTTCCTTCTTTGTTTTGGAAGACACAAGCTCATGCTTTCACATGTCCATAGAACCCGGAGTGTTTGAACCAACTTAAATGTAAGAAATACCCAAAAAGAATTTCAGAATGTTGCTATACCTAATATAGAAACAGTACATTAATCTTAGGTTAAAAATCAGATATTTAAGGGTTTCCATTGATGACAACATAATCAGTGTCTAGGTAATTAAAGAAGTACCATTGGGAATCTATTTGCATTATCACCCCCTGCCTTGAAGTGGGAGAGGGATATTGATTTGAGCTCCGTTCGTCCATTGTCTCTGACACGTGAAGGTCCGGGTTAGAATTGATCTTCAGTAACCCATGCTTGTCGTAAGAGGCGACTTACGGGATCAGGGGGTCAGACTCGCTGACTTGGTTGACACATGTCATGGGTTCCCAATTGCGTAGATCGATGCTCATGCTGTTGATCACCGGATTGTCTGGTCCAAACTTGATTATTTACAGACCGCCGCCGTATAGCTGGCATATTGCTGAGTGCGGCGTAAAACTAAATTCACTCACTCACTCACTGTCCATCATCTGAGATGATGGGGACAGACTTTCTCAAAAACTGTCATAGATAGGGAAACCAGATTTTCTCGGAAACCGTTATAGACAGGGAAACCAAACTTGGTATGTGTTTTCAGGACATGAATGCCTTGATGGAGTTAGAAAACAGAAACTGTGTTACAGCTTGTTACAGAGTTGTGGCCCTTGTCACGCATTTCTTGACTTAGTACATGATAACCCCAATGGGACAGATTTTCTCGGAAACCGTTATAGATAGGGAAACCAAATGTGGTATTTGTTTTCAGGAAATGAATGTTGTGGTGAAGTTGAAATACAGGAACCAAATAGGAACAGAACACTGTGGAGGGGGATACTGATGACCATGTCTTCTTGTTTTCAGTCCGCTTTCTTTGGCATTTCCGGTGAGAACATGACGGTGAGAGTTCGGAGGAATGTCTTCAAATCCATGCTGAGACAGGTGAGTATGGACCAACTCATGAAGGCAATCACTCATCAGTCTATTTCCAACTTTTCATTACATCATTGAACATATTAATAAAAGTATATCCATCATTGCCATGAATGGATAAATTCATTAAATTTTATAGCTTAAGTGAACACAGTATAAGGTTTTGTGAGTTATTTGTGAGCCTACCCTATGTTGCTAAATTGGTACTGAATGTAGTAATAGTCTGCTTTTGAGCAAACAAATTTGGAATTATAGTTTTATTTGTAACTTTCATACTAGAGCTGTGTATCGTGGCTAAGTGGCGAGACGATATATCCTGATACCAGTTTAATGAGGCGAGACAATATATCCTGATACCAGTTTAATGAGGCGAGACAATATATCCTGATACCAGTTTAATGAGGCGAGACAATATATCCTGATACCAGTTTAATGAGGCGAGACAATATATCATGAAAGTATTGGCAAGGGGCCTGAGATGATTATCATCACGACGATACATATCCCGATACTTTACAATTGCTAAAAACAGAACAGATATGGTAGATAAAATGACTGAAACTTTATTTGTTATACAGCAGAACTTGTGTTACATTCACATACACTGAAATAGCTGTTGGTCTAATAAAATTTCAGCATTTTATGCTCATGAAAGTACAGTCGAACAAAGAGATTTACCTGAGTCCTGTAATTGAGGTTCCCTGGGACTCATATTCTTAATTTTCAGGCGTCCTGGACTACAAAATGGGGTTCCCAGACACTTTAATATAATTATCAATACTATGTTGTAATATTGTTGTAATTCAGTTACTGCTATTGTATTGTATCATGATCATCACATAATTAAATTGCAAATAATACCATAACCCAGCTAGTAGCAAACTCAGTGACAACTTATTGTTACTTGATTTGAATTTTTACAAAAGTTTTGGGACTTATTCTGCATCCCTGTGGATGTGCTAATAAATTTTGTTGCGTCCATTGTCAATTTTTATGTGTATAGGACGCAGGAATTCGCGCCCCGTAAATCCCTGCGAACATATTCAGTATACCTTTATCTAATATAAATGAATTTGAAACTGAAGTTTCCCTTGAAAAGTTGTGTTCTACACCAATGCTTGCACAAAAAATTCAATGTAATTTATATCAGAATTCAAAATCACTGAAAACAACTCTTAAGTCTGCTTTCTAAATTTATCTTATCTTTGGTCTCCTTTTGAACAAAGCTAAGACATCGTTCATAGTTATTAATAAATGGTGTTATTTGTCAAACAACGAAAACGTATTTCAATTACTAAAAGACAAGAATTGTACAGTTCACCATAATGCACTCAGTCGCTTACATTTGATCTGTTAGGCTTTGTAACTGTTTTTTTAGTTTTCTTAGTAAATTACCTAAGAAGTATCGGGATATATTGTCTATTGTGGTGATACATCAATGTACCATGAACCCTCACGATATAAATATCCTGATATATTGCCTAAATGTGATATATATCGATGCACTTGTATCGTGTAGTTGACGATGCAAACATCGATACCATCGATGAAGTGTTACACCACTATTTCAAACAGAGTTGTCGTTTGTGAAATAATTTTATGTACCACAATATGATACTATTGTGTAGCTATGCCACAATACATCGATGCATTGATACTTTTTCTAAGATGATGTACAATTATAGATACATTCAAAACTGTATAGATATTTATAAAATATGAAATATTAATGTTCAAACTGTAACTAAATTTACACAATAATGCTTCAAAAATAGGTATCATGATACGTATCAAATCGTGACATGGGTATCATGATACGTATTGATTCATGAAACTTATCTAACGTCACATCCCTACTATTGTGTTTGGTGAAGTAAAGTCTTGGTGTAAAATGGAAAGTCATCGAATTCTAGTTCTGTTACAGTACAAGACAAAGTGAAGTTTGAGCGCAATTTACTAGGACTGCCAGTATTCGTTTACTCTCTGTTTAAGTACCAGATAAAACTGTTGTACATTGATGCCTTGTAGGAAATCTCCTGGTTTGATGATCACAAGAATAACTTGGGAGCCTTGACTACCAGACTAGCCACAGATGCTTCACAAGTACAGGGGGTAGGTTGATGTACCTCTTAATGTATTGGTACCTGTGTATAGTCTGCTGATCGTAGGTTCCAATCTCACGTTTGCCCTGATTTTGACCCCTAGCACCTGTGTATGATGGACTAATCGTAGGTTCCGATCTCACGTTTGCCCTGATTTTTACCCTTGGTACCTGTGTATGATCGCCTACTCGTAGGTTCCGATCTCATGTTTGCCCTAATTTTGACCCTTAATACCTGTGTATGATCGCCTACTCGTAGGTTCCGATCTCACGTTTGCCCTGATTTTGACCCCTAGTACCTGTATATGATAGGCTAATTGTAGGTTCCGATCTCACCTTTGCCTTGCTTTTGACCCTTGGTACCTGTGTATAGTCTGCTGATCTTTGGTTCCGATCTCACCTTTGCCCTGATTTTGACCCTTGGTACCTGTGTATGATTGCCTACTCGTAGGTTACGATCTCTCGATTGCCCTGATTTTGACCCTTAGCACCTTTGTATGATCGCCTACTCGTAGGTTCCGATCTCTCGATTGCCCTGATTTTGACCCTTAGCACCTGTGTATGATTGCCTACTCGTAGGTTCAGATCTCACGATTGCCCTGATTTTGACCCTTAGTACCTGTGTATGATAGGCAAATCGTAGGTTCCGATCTCACGTTTCCCCTGATTTTGACCCTTAGTACCTGTGTATGATAGGCAAATCGTAGGTTCCGATCTCACGTTTGCCCTGATATTGACACTAAGACCCATGTATGGTCTGCAGATCGTAGGTTCCGATCTCCCATCTCACTATAGATGGAATATTGCTGAGTGTGATGTTAAACAACAGCCAACCAAACTTAGGGTATCTCATCCTGGTGGGAGAGGAATAATACAAGAGATGACAGAAACACCATGTGACCCCAATGGTAGCCTTCTGTAGGCTTCTGTGTACACCATGTTCCAATATGTGCACGATTTTCAATGTAATCAGGACCCGGGTTAGAATTGATCTTCAGTAACCCATGCTTGTTGTTAGAGGCGACTAACGGGATCAGGTGGTCAGGCTTGCTGACTTGGTTTACACATGTCATCGTATCCCAATAGTGTAGATCGATGCTCATGCTGTTGATCACTGGATTGTCTGGTCCAGACTCGATTATTTACAGACCACCACCATATAGCTGGAATATTGCTGAGTGTGGCGTAAAACTAAACTCACTCACTCACTCAATGTAATCAGTTGTTGTACATACCCCTAACTAAGACTTAAAACTTATATGGCAGTGTGTATACTACAGACTATTTTACAGAAAACAGCAGTGAACAAGGAAATAAAATAGCCCTGCAACTAGTTTTAGATTCATTGACATTTGAAGATTTTTAGTTTTCATTTTCCGCAATCTGTGAAACAAATATTTAACTTGCTGTCTGTGGTTATAATAAAGCCCTTTGTCAATTTCTAACTGCAAAGGATTATTATCATGGTATAACTGTCTTCAACTTCAGCCCAGCCAATAGTCCGAGTCCATTCTTGTAACACTTCTACTGGTTTAGTAAGATGATATTAACTAACCATTAACTAATACTAAAATCAACAGGAAATAATGCCAAGGTACAAGTTCGGAATAAAGAGTTTGGGCACAGACCAGAACAGCTCTTTAACCATTATTTGAATACACTGTAACTATGGTTACAAGAAACTGAAAAGAACCACTAATACTAGTTTGTTCTGCCCACAGGTTGTAATACACATTTTGACTCAAATATGCAAATGAAAAAAAACCAACAGGTTTTTATAGCCGTCAGTTCATCATAGCATGTTCATTAGAAACGATTGAGTGAATAATCAGTCAATCAATCGATTGGTCTCGCGTAAGTGATCATCGATGACAGGGCTTGCAATTCACCCAAATTCCCAAACAAGACCACAGGACCAGTAACTTTTAAAAATCCTGTCAACATTTTACTAGACCCGGCCCAGTGGAATAGCGTGAATGTCGAGCCCTGGATGGGCTCCAGAGACTAACTGATATTCATAAAAAATTAAACATCAAATTCAACTTTAACAAGTATGTTTCTTATTGTTATGTTTGTCAAATAAGGAAATAAAGAAACTGATGTCGGTTTGCTGACCTGTAAAACTGTAATGTAAACAACATACTCGCGTGCATGTCAACAGGAAGTGTCCTCGATCGTCTTGATCGTAGTATTAATCAGTGCTTGTTTCGTTTGTGCAATGCTATGATTGTGGCCTGTTATTGACCTGTAAAGATCTGAGTGAGAATTGGTCTTCAGTAACCCTGCTTGTCATAAGGGGCGACTAACAGGATCGGGTGGTCAGACTTGCTGACTTGGTCATCGTATCCCAATTATATAGTTCGAGGGGCGGTGGGGTAGCCTAATGGTTAAAGCGTTGGCTCGTCACGCCGAAGACCCGGGTTCGAATCCCCACATGGGTACAATGTGTGAAGCCCATTTCTGGTGTCCCCCGCCGTGATGTTGCTGGAATATTGCTAAAAGTGGCGTAAAACCAAACTCAGTCAGTCAGACATAGTTCCATGCTTATGCTATTGATCACTGTATTGTCTGGTCCAGACTCGATTATTTACAGACCAAGGCCATAAAGCTGTGATAGTGCTGAGTGCGGCGTAAAACTAAACTCACTTACTGTTTTTTCACAAATGAACTTGGTGGTGAGTTTTTGTTTACAATTGATTACTGATCGATTACTGAGTTATTATGATCAATTTGAATAAAGTGAGCGATAACCAGCACTATAAACGTAATTTACTGTATGTATTTAATATCCGCTGATTTCTGCTGCAGGCTACAGGTGTCCGACTGGGTATGGTCGTCATGAACTTGGCTAACATGGGCAGCGCTGTTGTCATCGCCTTCATCTTCAGCTGGCAGCTTACCCTGGTCATCCTGGCCTTTGTACCTTTCATCATGGCATCTGGCTTCATCGAGATGAAGGTACTGGCTGGAGTTGCCGGCAAGAACAAAGAAGCTCTAGAGGATGCTGGGAAGGTGAGACCATGTTTTGTAATGCATCAAATTATATGAGAGCAGTCTGCCACTTTAGCCACAACCCGAAGCTTTTAAGAAGAAAATTGTTCTAGCATGCTCTTCTAATCGCCTGCAGTGATATTACTAAAATATTGCTAAAATCGGTTTAAAAATAAACTCTGTTCTTTGTGTGGCATTTTAGAAGTAGGGAAGGACACTATTTACAAACTTTATGGATAACAACTCTTTTAGTTTGTGAGTGCAGTGTGTCGGTAAACATTCAAGCTGGGTTGATAATGGTTCGGGGCCGTGGGGTAGCCTAATGGTTAAAGCGTTGGCTCGTCACGGCGAAGACCCGGGTTCGAATCCCCACATGGGTACAATGTGTGAAGCCCATTTTCTGGTGTCCCCCGCCGTGATGTTGCTGGAATATTGCTCAAAGTGGCGTAAAACCAAACTCAGTCAGTCAGTCAGTGATAATGGTTCAAGAATCTGTATCCAAACATCGCACTCACCAAAGTTGTTATCCATAAAGTTTGTCAACATTATTCAACTAAACTCAGGCTAATCTATTGGACTGAACCCTGCTGAAGGTGATGCTTACGGCCATGTTCAGCCTCTTACTCTGAAAAGGACTGGGTACGGACTGATAGGCTGTTTGTGTTGTCGATTGGACTAGTAGCTGACTTGGCTAGTAATTCTTTGTATCCACTGACTAGTACTGCACGGTATTACAGATATATCACAATACGCTATTCAAACAATACATATTGCACCATTTTTTCTGAGAAACAGTATATTGGGTAAAGAACATATATGAAGCAGGTATGAAAACTCCCTAAAATTTCAGCCAGACCACAGGGCTGGTTAGATGTAAAACTTGCCAGCCCTGACCAAAACTTACCTGCCCACAAAATGTCTTTATATACATGTTTAAGTTTTAACCCGACCGTCAGGCAGGTGAATTTGATACAGTTTATTTGCCAATACACAGCCCTACCACTGACACAGTCCCTTTAAAGATCTAGCATAGAATTGTCCTTAGACCAATGCTTATTGTAAGAGGCAACTTATCTATAGGATTGGTTAATGGTTGATGCTTGTCACCTTATTCCAGTTGCACAAATTGGTGCTCATGATGTCGATCAGTAGTCAAGACGGAAATTTCCAGATTGCAATCATACTGCTAAAAGTGGCGTCATAATAGAGATTATTACACAAGCAAGTGTGTCGTACGACTTATAAGAAACGAGTGTGAAGATCGAGGGCAATACATAATTTTACATGAGCCTCGTATAAGTCGTGTGGAAGACTTGCGATGTGTAATAATTTCTTTGTTATCCATTTTATTATTGTGACGGCTCTCTTCATTGACGTCACATTCCATTGTTTAATGACGTCGCAGACGACAAAATACAGAAACAATGGTTGCACAGCAAAACTGATATGTGCGCATTTGATATTTTTATGACACTCGTTATGTTCCACCATATGAATAATAAATAACTGTGTAACATTTCCTGATAATGTTTCCTTGTACAGGTGGCCATTGAAGGTATCGAGAACATCCGCACGGTTGCATCTCTGAGTCGTGAACCCACGTTCTACAAATTGTATGAGGAGAAGCTGATGACCCCATATAACGCTGCCCTCCGGAAGGCTCACTTGGTTGGAATATCCTTTGGGGTGTCCCAAGCTATTGTCTTCTTCGAACATGCAGCAGCCTTTTACTTCCGTGCCTACCTCATTAAAATTGGAGAAGCAGATTATGTAGATGTCTTCAAGTAAGTCCTGTTTGTCTTTTACTCATGAAGATCCGGGTTAGAATTGGTCTTCAGTAACCCATGCTTGATACACGTGAAGATCCGGGTTAGAATTGCTCTTCAGTAACCCATGCTTGTCGGAAGAGGCGACTAACGGGATTGGGTGGTCAGCCTTGGTTGACACATCTTTTCGTACCCCAATTGCGAAGATAGATGCTCATGCTGTTGATCACTGGACCGTCTGCTTCAGTCTTGATTATTTACAGACCACCGTCATATAGCTGGAATATTGCTGAGTGTGGCGTTAAACAACAAACCAAACAACCTTTTTGTCTTCCAGTGGCCTGGGTAGCCTAGTGGTAAATCATTCCTGATGCTGGTGTCGTGTTAAGTCTGGTGGGTCCATGTCATGGCCAAGGAATCCCAGTCAGGCTTCTTGGATCACTTGGTTTCAAGGCGCGGTGGGGTAGCCTAGTGGTTAAAGCGTTCGCTCATCACGCCGAAGACCCAGTTTCAATTCCCCACATGGGTACAATGTGTGAAGCCCATTTCTGGTGTTCCCCTTGCTGGAATATTGTTAACTTGTTCCCCCCAACAATTCCCATGAATAATTATTGCTATATGCTGCATCAGCAAAATTAGAGCTGTTCGTGGCTCCCACCAATAAGGAGACCCTATGTTGTTAAAAAATGTCCAAATACAATTGTCAATATGGCTACCACAATAAATGTAACTTGCTCATAAATAAGCCTTGCCACCAAATATGATATTCCTAATAATGAAATCGTTCAGATGATTGTTTCCACTTGCATATGATTTCTCACAGAATCCTTCTCATATTTCCTGCAGAGTATTTGGTGCTATTGTATTTGGTGCCATGGCTATTGGACAAGCCAGTGCCTTCGCCCCAGATGCTGCCAAGGCAACTGTGTCTGCTCAGAGGATTATATTCCTGCTTAACAGTGAACCCACCATCAACAGCGAGTCCACAGCTGGAGAGAAGCTTGGGGTAAGTTGTAGGCAGTTGTCTCTAGGTTGTTAGCTAGGCAGGATGTGTGTTACAGTTTGAATCCTAGATTTGTCCAGTAATGAATCTTGATCCATAACTCTGTTGCTGCTTTCAACAAACTGGTATAAAATTTAAAACTTTGTGTTGATGATGTTACTTTCTCTGTGTTTGCAGATTTGACTTGAGTCATTGAGTCTTTACTTCAATTTCGGGGTGGTGGGGTAGCCCAATTGTTAAAGCGTTCGCTCGTCACGCCGAAGACTTGGGTTCGATTCCCCACATGTGTACAATGTGTGAAGCCCCTTTCTGGTGTCCCCAGCCGTGATATTGCTGGAATATTGCTAAAAGCAGCTTAAAACCCAACTCACTCACTCATTACTTCAATTTCAGGACAACTATTCAAGTAAGGTCAGTTTGACTGACGTGAGGTTCCGCTACCCTACCCGCCCAGACGTGACAGTTCTGCAAGGTCTGACGGTGGACATCGAACCTGGTCAAACCCTGGCCTTCGTAGGCAGCAGCGGATGTGGCAAGAGTACCTCTGTGCAGCTAATTGAGCGCTTCTACGATCCTGAATCCGGTGTCGTGGTGAGTATAGTGGAGACCCATGTCAGTCTGGTACATCTCACTGAGCCTTTCTTCGATCCTCAATCAGGTGTTGCAGTAAACACAGTCGGGGGTCCATGTCATAAACATGGGAGGGTGGGGAGTACAGCTCACTGAGCACTTCCACAATCCTGAGGCTGGTGTCGTGGTAAGTCTAGTTGGCTCATATCATGGCTATGGGAATCCCAGTGTGGAGATGTTCTTGAATCACTGGGGGTGGTAGGGTAGCCTAGTGGTTAAAGCGTTCGTTCATCACACTGAAGCCCAGGTTCTGTTCCCAACATGGGTACCGTGTGTGAAGCCCATTTTATGTTTCCCCCGCCTTGATATTGCTGGAATATTGCTAATAGCGACGTAGAACTAAATACTCACTCACTCTTGGATCACTTGATTTAGGAGACCCAGGTATCTAAGGTATGTAGTGGGGATTGTGAATCTGAAAGTAAATAGACTGTCACATTGTCATATATAGTTATCAAGCGATGCTTGTCGTTACAGTCAATTCACAGAATGTATTTTCCAGACAACTGACTTGCCATAGTATCATATGGATCGATGCTTATGCTTTCAGTCTCTGGTTTCCAGGTCCAGATTTGATATATGAGTTCTTGGTGAAGTGTCTGGAATACTTCTTTGCCCAATCTGGAGTCAATTAGCAGAAGTGTTGAGGGATGATTTGTAAATTAGCAGACGGCAAGGGCGGCCATCTTGAATTTGCACAGGCTTTACCTAGGGACCTCCTGTCTTCTCATGGTTACTGAATATATATTGGACAGTATTGTTTTGAAGTGAGAAGGGAGGGTTATGTAAGAAAATATGCTCATTGGAGGGATTTTGTTTGATAGCATGGTAACTGGGAGTGAGTGTGACATTGACACACTCACTTTACTCCTTGTATGCAGAGGTACTTGTTGTTAGGATTGCCTCCAACTTTCTCATGGCATCTGATGTCTGTGTTTCAGAGCCTGGACAGGTATGACATCAAGAAACTGAATCTCCAGTGGCTAAGATCTCAGATTGGAATTGTGTCTCAAGAACCAATTCTCTTTGACTCAAGCATCGCGGAAAATATAGCATATGGTGATAACTCAAGGGAGGTAACCATGGCAGAAATCATTGAAGCTGCGAGAGCCGCCAACATCCACTCCTTCATCAGCTCACTGCCAGCGGTCAGTTGGATTTATCACATTATGAATTCTGTTTTTGAGCCTCAGGAGATTATTTTTCTTTTCTTTCTGGTGGGGTAGCCTAATGGCTAAAGTGTCCAGTCATCACGCTGAAGACCCAAGTTGATTCCAAACATGGGTACAATGTGTGAAGTCCATTTCTGGTTTCCCCCGCTGTGATATTGCTGGAATATTGCTAAAAGTGATGTAAAACTTTAAACTCATTTACTCCCTGAAAATTGACTTGTTTCCTTTCATTGTGTCAATTCAGTTCTTTGGGGATTATGGAGCAGAAATGATTAGCTCAATATACAGGGGTGCATCTCAGGGGAGATATATAGGATACACACATTTCTGTCATTACTTCTGCAAATTAAAAAGTCAGTGTGCCAAATTTCGCCAATATGAAGTTGGTGCACTTTGTTGACCGAGTGCATGTTAGAATTTAAGCAGTATGGACAACACTTTAGTAACTACCATGTCGGTCATATACTGTGACTTGTATCATTAACAAGAACATCACTAATCATTGTGATATCCTAAGGTATCTATGGTCAAAGTCAAACATTCTGATTTCTTTTTGGAATTCTGAGTGAGCATGATCACGTGACTGCCTTTTTCTGGAGTTGATGATACTGGTCGTAGCTCCTGCTATCAATCACCGTCTACAGGGCTCCAGATAAAGGCCATATCGGCGTATGTACGGATAAAATATATGCACGATACGGTTGGAAATAATTTAGAAAACGTAGCGGATACGCACCACAGCAATGGTGTACGGTGTTAGATTCTTTTACAGACGTATTTATCTGCAAAAGTATTGTTTTATTGTTTATTGACCTGTTTACACAAGAGTAGCAATGTTGTGGTGCATATTTGAAACGAAACACAAGCTTACTGATACTCCATTAAATTCCATTCAGTATTCTAAATGTACTCTTAAGTTTTTCCAGTACTCCTATATTGAAAAAATAAGGAGTACGTACTCCTGATGTTGAAAAATCATCTGGAGCCCTGCGTTTACAAATAGTGTCAAAATGTTTACAGTAAATTAAGGCCTTAAGGGAACGTAACTCCAATATTTGAACACACGCTTACATTTGTCGTAGCTTTAAGTTACTTTCTTGAATGGGGCCCAGAGCCAAGAGAATCTTCATTTGTGATACATTTGTGTTTTGCCAATGTCTCTAATGCCTCTCCTGCTGACGTGATGTGAGATTTGTGCCTCATGTTGACAGGGCTATGACACCAATGTCGGAGATAAGGGAGCTCAGCTGAGTGGGGGACAGAAACAGAGGGTGGCCATCGCCCGTGCTTTAGTCCGGAACCCCAAGATCCTGCTGCTGGATGAGGCTACATCTGCCCTGGACACTGAGAGTGAAAAGGTAAGAATCGTACTCTTGTGTTCATTCACGGGATCAAATTGTGGGTTTATATTGTTATGCAAGGACAAACGCCTATTTTTGTCTCAGGGCTCCAGATAAGGGCCGTATTGGCGTATGTACGGATACAAAATATGCACAATACGGTAGGACATAATTTAGCAAACTTAGCAGATACGCACCACAGCAATGGTGTACAGTCTTAGAATCATTTACAGACGTATTTATCTGAAATTTTTTGTTTTATTGTTTATTGACCTGTTTACACAAGAGTAGTGATGTTGTGGTGCATATATGAAACGAAACAATCGATTACTGATGCTCCATTAAATTCCATTCAATACTCTAAGTGTACTCTTACGGTTTTCCAGTACTCCTGTATTGAAAAATAAGGAGTACGTACTCCTGATGTTGAAAAATTATCTGGAGCCCTGTTTGTCTACACTGGGTGTTCACAGTTAGAACTGGTCAACGGTACCCTGGTCGTAAGATGTTAGAAAAAGGATCAGGTGGTCTGACTCTCTAACCTTTTACACCGTTAATGTGGATTGTTGATTACAGAATTGATATCACTGCACATTTATCAACGGAAGTCAATTACTAAACTATCAATAGTCACACATACTATCGATGCATCGATAGTTTTTCGTTTCTGCCATCAATAAATTGCTAGCGGAGAGTCAACAATTGAATCCATCGATAGTTCAATGCATTGTTACAGCCCTAATTATCATGATACTATTCAAAGCAGTATTCAACTCTACAATCCTTCACTTTAATACCCCATGATTCCTTCTTCTCAAAAACTGTTGGTTCCATTCTTGGTTTGCCCCAAATATGTTTCTAGATTTGTCAGCACCATATGAGAAAAGTGGTAAACATCCAGCATTTTTCCTCCAGTATTAAGCTGTAATGTAACAATAATACTTCTAATACCAGCGACACGTGAAGATCTGGGTTAGAACTGGTCTTCAGTAACCCATGCTAGTTGTAAGAGGCGACTAACAGGATCAGTCAGTCAGGCTCGCTGACTTGTCATCGTAACCCACTTGCGTAGATTGATGCTCATGCTGTTGATCACTGGATTGTCTGGACCAGACTTGATTATTTACAGACTGCAGCCATACAGTTGGAATATTGCAAAGTGTGGGGTAAAACTAAACTCACTCACTCTAAAACCAGCATTTAACCCAGCTCATTGTTTTGCTCAAGCTGTTAATGGTGTCACACATCTGTTACAGGTTGTGCAGGAAGCCTTGGACAAGGCTCGGGAGGGTCGTACCAGCATTGTGATAGCACACAGACTATCAACAATACAGAACGCAGACAAGATCGCCGTCATCCGACACGGCAAGGTGGCCGAGCTGGGTCGTCACAATGACCTAATGGCCAAACAAGGCTTTTACTACAAACTGAACATGGCCCAAATTAAACAGAAGTAGACATTATACCAAACATATCCATGATGGCTTTGTACACAGCAGCCAGTATAAACTTGAACAAAACTCTCCTGGATGACGTCTGCTCAGGAAGGGGAGGTAACTGCTGTTGAAGATGGAGCTGAGTGTTTTTGGGAGTGTGTGTGAGAGGTCTGCCTTGCAATGGTGTGCCATATTGCCTCCGTGAGTGCTTTTGTCAAGCCATTGTTTCTGTTATCCATCCTCCAGTACCAAGGAGGAAATATGTTTTCTCATATATTCAGTTAGCATTTGAACCTAAAGATCATGTCGTTGGTGAATTGAAACATGATATTTTCTGGATTGTGATATGTTGTAAAATGAAGAACATTCAACTCAAGGATCACTAACTTGAAGCTGATGTCTTCTTCTGTAATATCAGGATCTAGCAGAGATGACAGTAAATTTCAAGCATGTGTCATGGTTGTAAAATTCTGGTATACAAATATACTGGACAAAATAAGTTAGGGATATTGGTAGTTTTATGATTGATACTTTAACATAATTTCAGAATTTATATCTATCCCTAACTATTGTTGTCCAGTATATAATTTTCCATCTTTAATAGAATATTGTGGAATTGTTTGTTGTCTGCGACCAAAGGTTCATGTTCTTGGTGGCGTGACTTACATGTCTTTGTTTAAGTAAGGATGTTACAACCAGTTAAACTCTGATGTCGCTTTGAGGAACATGGCTTAAGTGTTTTAAGGGATGAGATGTTTGTAATATACAATTTGACCATTTTTTCAGGATATATTTATCAATGATCAGGTGACAACTAATATATCAGCACTTTCACCATTTAATCAAGTGCAAACAATGAGTTCATTTTGACTAAGCATGTTTTCAAGAGAACCAGTAGAATCACGTGACAATCTTATCTATGCATTTAGCCTTATGTTCTGATCACTGAAAGGAAAGATTGGAAAGTCTAGTGTTGGTTTTATATGAGTGCACATTGTACTTCGTCAAACACCAAGCTTCCTTTGCCACTAGAAGACCTTGATTTGGTGAGGATAGCTTTATTAAAGATGACGTCCTTGCATTTTGAGCGTGGTCACTAAGTCACTATTTTCAGCATTTATGATTTTATCAGAAGTGATAAACTCTGATGTTGATCCTGATAATCAGTTTCAAAAAGGTCTTTTTGACAGGATATTTTCATGAAGATGTATATGTTTGAGTTACATTCATTAGACTTCACAGCAGAAATATGATACTGTGGAGGTGTCATGGTGAACCAAAATTGTAAATCCTGATTCAAAAGGTCAGAGAAAATTATTCAAAATGGCTGCTGCTCAAGATCATTTCAACATTTTTGGTTTTGTTTGTCAAGTTTTGTACATAAATTAATCACTTAACCCTCCTTTAGCCGAACAAGCTATGGGTATTTCAGAATTATTATCAGGTAGCCGTTTTGCACATTGATTTGTTTATTGTTATTGAGTGTAGTTTGTCTCATGTTTTGAGCAAATGAAATTTTGACAATGCTTATAGTGTCATTCTGGAGCACATTTCCTCAAGTACTTGTTCAAAATTATTTACAAACCTGATACAAAGCCATTGTGAAAATCTTTCAAATATATTTAGTATATCAACAGTAATTGTTGTTTCCTCCCTGACCTTTTGAAGTGTTAAAGTTTTGACCATGCCCTGATTCTTTTTGTTTCGTTTGAAAAAGGTATTGTACCATATTGGAAAATCTTAAGGGATGAACATTTTTGTATGTCAACTTCTGTAATATGAAGGACACACGGTTTTGGAGTGTCTTCTTATCCCTTCATGTAACATGGACTTAAACAAATCTTCATAATGTATTAAATTTTCTCACCTGTTAAGTGTTTTATGCTGTTTCTATTTTGTACTTAATATTATGTGAATTTATTTAAGCATAATTTGGTTATTGCATAATCACATGTAATGCATTTGTCCCTCAGCCTGCTGGGACCACAATAAATACAGTATTTGTTCTCCACAAAAACTGGTTTATTTCAGTGGCATAATGCAGATGTTGCTAAGAAGAGTTATGTCCCTTTAGTACCAGGATCTGCTGATACAAAAACCAGTTTCACCCAGACCATATTTTCACATCGTCAGCAATGTGTCTTGCTGATTAGCTTCACAACCTGTTTGAGTCAGCTGAAAGTGAATACTTTATCTGTTAACAATACAGAGTTGTGTCCCTTGTCAAGCCAAGCATCACCGATATTGTAATGTCTACTATCTCTATAACAGGAGCCTAGTGGTTAAAACGTTTGCTCGTCATTCTCAAGACCCTGGTTCAATTCCCCACATGGGTAGAGTGTGTGAAGCCCATTCCTGGTGTCCCCTGCCGGTATATTGCTGGAATATTGCTAAAAGCGGCGTAAAACTAAACTCACTCACTCACTCCAACAATATTTAACAATTCTTTTCAGTGTTGTTGTGTAGACATCTCTGTATGGAGATTATTTTACAACTGTTGATGAGCTGCAGTGGGACCTGATTGGAATGTTATTTTATGACAGTATGAATGACAATCAGTCTGTGTCGTGAAAAAATGAACGTACCTTGCAACAATACAAGTTTGGATGAGCGGAAGGCAAAATTGTTCTTTAATTTAGACACCTGATACATACATAAGATATTTTCCTATACTTGAGTAATGGGCGCAAATGTATTTTGTCATGTCTAAAAAAATTATCACATTGTACTGTATATACCTTTGACAATCTTTGAGTACTGTTAATCAGTCTGCAGTGGCCAATTGGTTACGTGTATGATTCCTTACGTAACCACGGTGATATGCCATGTCCTGATATATCAATAAATGTATATAGTATTCACATATCATGCTTTTTGTTAAAATAAACATAATTTATGTGAAATATAATTAATAAATGCAACTATTGCATTGGTTACTAAATACCTCCTTGTGCATTGTATGTATCTAACATGTGTTGGCCAGTTGAGTAGATCGATGCTCATGCTGTTGATCACTGGATTGTCTGGTCCATGCTTGATTATTTAGAGACACTGCCATATAGCTGTAATATTGCTGAGTGCAGCATTAAACAACAAACGGACTAATATGTGTTGCTTAGTGTGACAAAATTTAAAGTCTAGGATGAGAATCAAAATGTGTCTTGGGAATAATTATATTGCAGAATTGTTTATAGTTCATGAAGAGTCCAGGGAATTTCGTCTGTCCTTTCACCTGTCCGTCCGAAGACATTGTCGTTCAACTAATAAACTGAAAACTATTTTGTTGTAAATTTTAATAATGTTATTTCAATGTTTTTAAGAATTCCAGCAATTTAATCCTTTGAGCTTAATATTTTGCATTCGAAATAATAACTTGACAACTATTGGTTAAGTTCTTTTGACCTTTTGGGACCACCTTCGTAGTTTGTAGGAGCGATGAAGTGCAAATTTTGATTATGATATTTTAACTTTTTTCAAGAATAGCAGCAATATAAAAATTGGAACAAAGAAGTTTGTTCAACCAATAACGGGAAAACTATTGGTTGGATTCTTTTCAAGTATGGGGACCATTTTCTGTGTGTGAGCGAGACGTGCAGTGCAGTGCAAAGTTATATGTTGATATATTTAATTGATTGAAGATTATCACAAAATACCTCTTAATCTCAGGGAAAACATCCCAGGAATTTGTTCAACCTATAACTTACAATCATTTAATGGATGTTTTTTCAGATTTGGGTAATCACTTCTTAGTTTATTGGAAGGGTGTACTGCAAAGTTTGATACAAATCTTGTGTTTTTGTCAGGAATATATTGTAAATTGTTGTTCAGCTGAAGTTTGGAGTCAAGGTCAGAGGTATTAGTGAGCCTGGCTCACAGGATAAAAAATATGTGTTTGATTTAGAAAATGCTTTTTGGGCAGATTTACCTTGATCAAATTTGTTTTATGGTCAAGAAACTGGAAGTGAACAAAATACATTGATCTGGACTCAACTCTTATTATGCTTGTACAGGTGGTTTTTTCTTCATTCCTTTGTTTTCTGATCTGCCGATCTTTAATTTCATAAATGTTGAATGTGATTAAACATCATGAGACCATCATTGTTTTATCCCACCAAGACAAAATATATTTTACCCCAAAACTCTTTTTTGCACCACTTAAAGTCCTGTTGGCAATATCTCAGCCATTTTTGTTTATTTGAACAAATCCACCATATGTTATAGTAGGAAATTCAGAACAGTATCATAAGAAGTAACATATCACTGATGACTTTAAAACATGATGACCGTAAATCGTTCCATCACTGATTTACTTTCAAACATGATGATCTTAAATCGATGCATCACTGATTTACTTTCAAACATGATGACCCAAAATCGATCCATCACTGATTTACTTTAACACATGATGACCGTAAATTGACCCATCACTGATTTTCTAAAACATGATCATAGTAAATCGACTCATTGCTGATTTACTTAAAACACGATGACCGTAAATTGATATTTACTTTTCTATTGAGTAATTTACAGTATGCTTAGAAGTGAGTATCAAATTACGACAAGTCACCTTATACTGCACCTTCCCCAGAAGTCACTGTGTCAGCAGATTAGTGAGATTTAGCACATTTTGGCTCTAGAGGTAGAGCCAGAGTCTCGATCATGCACAGAAAGTCTGGAACTGTTGACCTTTAGTTTCATTCACTTTGTTCTGAAAGTCAACGATCTCTTGTTAATGTCATGAAGCACATATACAAGTCTTTGAATTTTACCTTGAGTGTTCAAGGTAGTGATCATGAATTGTTTGGCAAATTGGAAGTAGTTCTGAGCAATGACAGAATAACTATTATAGGATATTTATATAGGGCACATATCCAGGCAACTAGTGCATGTTTTCCCTCGATCATTGGATATCAATCTCAATGGCACATCATATTATAAATCTCAACTCCCTGGGGAGTATACAACTCTTGCAGCCACTAGGTGCACCGAGTTACTGTGGTTTTCTCCTCCTAACGAGGTACCCATTCACAGCTGGGTGGACTAGGACATATAGTCACAGTACTTTGTCCAAGTTTACTGCACGTTGCTGTACCCACAACTAGGTGTTTGCACGTATTCATGCTGCCACCATCTGGTCATATACCAACGGATTCGTGGGTTCTTTTTAAGTGCACAGGGTTGTGTACTGTAGACTAGGGTTGTGACAACACCCGGTCACAGGTGGGCTCGATCCCGGCACCTCAACCTCGCTGGATCACTAGCCTGGTACCCTAGCCAGCTCGCACCCCCTGACTATAGTTGTATGGAAGATATGAGTGCGCTCTAAATCCTTTGCAACATGACTCCTTCGTACAGCAATACATGTTCTGTCATTGCGTCACTGTAGCATTATGAAAGAATCAGGTTTTCTTTTGCTTCTTTCCAATAGTGATATAGAAAAGTGTTGGATAGAACACAGGTATACAGTTTCATCAGTTACTCAGCATCAAAGACCTCTGTAAAATCTGTGACTGATGTGTTGTTTTGTGTCCACTTGCAATAGTTTTTGTTGAAGAAGCAAGAGTTGTTGCATTTTTAAAACATATTTAAGTGAGATTATGTGCAGAAGAATCTCAGACATTGTTTCTCAATGATGCCGTACCTGGATACAGATGTGTTCTTATGTCCAGAATATGTTTGCCAGTGATGACGTGATGGCGTATCTGGGAACACATGTGTTCTCATGTACAGATATGTTTGCCGATGATGACTTATCTGGAAACACATGTGTTCTCTTGTACAGATATGTCTGCAGGTGAAGACGATCTGGATACAGATGTGTTCTCATGTCCAGAATATGTTTGCCGGTAATGACGATCTGGGAACACATGTGTTCTCATGTCAAGAATATGTTTGCCGGTGATGACGATCTGGGAACACATGTGTTCTCTTGTCCAGAATATATTTGCCAGTGATGACGATCTGGATACAGATGTGTTCTCATGTGCTGATGTTTGCTAGTGATGACGTATCTGGATACAGATGTGTTCTCATGTGCTGATGTTTGCTAGTGATGACGATCTGGATACAGATGTGTTCTCATGTGCTGATGTTTGCTAGTGATGACGATCTGGATACAGATGTGTTCTCATGTGCTGATGTTTGCTAGTGATGACGATCTGGATACAGATGTGTTCTCATGTGCTGATGATGCTAGTGATTGCTACTAGTGAGTGATGTTTGCGTATCTGGATACAGATGTGTTCTCATGTGCTGATGTTTGCTAGTGATGACGATCTGGATACAGATGTGTTCTCATGTGCTGATGTTTGCTAGTGATGACGTATCTGGATACAGATGTGTTCTCATGTGCTGATATGTTTGCCGATGATGGCATATCTGGGCACAGATAGTTCTCATGTGCCGATGTTTGCCAGTGATGACATCTGTTTTGGGTACAGATATTGTCATGCATATCTAACAATACTTATGAGCAAATCAGAGCAGACTTCTAGAATGTTTGTTTGAAGTTAAGATGCTTTTTTGACACTGCAGGTTTTACAGGAGATGTATATTTACTATTGACAATTTTTTATGTCAACCCAGAAACATGTATTGATAATCTTGTCAAATATGTAACATTAAACCTGCCAGGGTGTATGAACTAATTTTTCACTTATCATTTCTTTTATGATAATGGTAAGGTTAACCCACAGTCTGAAATCCATTTTGTTGACAATGGGTTTAGTTTTTGTTTGTGCTAGAATATTGCTAAAACCATCTAAACGACGATTACTTATGTTTTAACATAAATGTCTTTTGTCATGAGGAATGCTCAATTTGAAATAGTGACATAGATTTTGTTTCATATTTTTTTCTCTTTGTAACTTATTCCTCAGTGACCTTGTTCACATTCGTTTGTTGACCTTGATTTGCACAAATAAAACATATTTGTTGAATAAGGTTCTAAGTCATTGTCCACATGTAGAAGTATGCATTTATCTTTAATCACAATGTTGCTTCTCGGAACAATATTTTTGTAATTTTTGTACAATGATCCTTGGACAATTCTGAAGTGTTGATTTCACAAAAATAAATGACAGGTGTTGTTTTGTCAATTATTTACATTGTTATTTGTTTAAACAAATAAAATATATCTGTATATATCGACCAATCTCTTGTTCTGTGTTCACGAGGGCACTCTGGTTGTAACTGGCAGATTACCTTGACAAGGATACTGTTGGCAAGTAATTTATGTGTTCAGGATAGAGTTTGAGGTTATGGTTCAAACCCAGTACTCATGAACAGATTATTCTTGTTGCCTTGGACAGGCTCCACGGTTTAGTGGTTAAAGAGTCCGCCCGGAGAGCTCAAAGTCGTGGGTTCGATCTGAAATCTAGACTTGCCACATTTTCTAGGGCTTTATTGGATGTATTTACTTCAGGGTCTGTACGACAGACTAGGCATCTCATTGAGCTAGCACTATAAAACCAGCTCAAGTCTGGGCTAGTACAAGCAACCACACATACACACACATGCAGATCTTCATATGAGTGAATGGGCAGGGGTGGCCTAGTGGTTAAAGCGTTGGCTCGTCACGACGAAGACCCGGGTTCGAATCCCCACAAGGGTACAATGTGTGAAGCCCATTTCTGGTGTTCCCCGCCGTGATGTTGCTGGAATGTTGCTAAAAGCTGCTGTAAAACCAAACTCAGTCAGTCATATGAGCGAAATATTCTCAAGTGTTTCACCTCTTTTTGCCTTGTCCAGGGCCCCGTTTCACAAAGCTCTCGTAGGCCTAAGATCTCGTAACTGTTCTCGAAGGATACCTTCTATATTGTAACATTGACTTACGATAGATAGTCGTGTCGCTACGAGAGATTTGTGAAACAGGGCGTTTTGTTGTTTAGCAACAAACAGCGCTATTCCAGCCATATGGCAGCGGTCTGTAATAATCGAATCTGGACCAGACAATCCAGAGATCAGCAGTATGAGCATCTCTTACCCTTGTCCTGGGGTGGCATTAATTGAAGAATCAGCATGGGTGTTTGTTCACACTATCGATCACTGGATTATCTTGAGCATTCAAAGTCCACAGTGGTATGGCTGGAATATACAGAGTGTGGCATTAACACACAACCTATTGTTCAGTCAGTACAGCTAGTTTCACCTGCTTCAGTCCAGCAGACTTAACAATGAAGGGCAGGGCTGAGAGGTTTATTTGTTTGTTTGTTTGTTTGTTTGTTGTTAAACACAGCACTCAGTAATATCCCAGCTGTATGGCGGTGGTCTATAAATAATCGAGTCTGGACCGGACAAAGCATTGATCAATAACATGAGCATCGATACACACAATTGGGACACGATGACATGTGTCAACCGAGTCAACGAGCCTGAGCACTCGATCCGTTAGTTACGACAAGCATGTGTTACTGAAGACTTATTCTAACCCTGATCTTCACGGATCACAGCAGGGCTGAAACAAAGAGTGTGTTTGCAGTCCTGTGAGAGGATATGCTAGCCATTGCAGGAAGTTACCACCATGAACCGACATCATGTTAGGGTAGATTACAGCGGTCGCTTTTCAAGATGACCAGGGTTTGATTCCCTACATGGGTTCCCCCACTCACTCCCCTTCCATGGCCATGGCCAAACGCAACAAATGACACGTGGCTGCTCTTCTTGGTGAGGTGAGGTGAAATTGGGTTTAACGTCGTACTTGAGAATATTTCACTTATATGATGACGTGCATGCGTGTGTATGTGTATGTGCGGCTTCTTATACTAGCCCAGACTTAAGCTGGTTTTATAGTGCTAGCCCACTGAGATACCATGCCGCAGTGAAGCATGAATATCCCACTCAGACACAGTATACTGACTCCGAGCCGACCAGCCCTTGTTGTACCCATTAATGCCGAGCGCCAGGCAGGGACCAACAAGTACCATATTTTAACGTCTTTTGGTATGACGCCGTCGGGGATAGAGCCCGCGACGTTCCGCTCTCCGGGCGGACGCTCTAACCACTACACCACGGAGGCGGTCCTGCTCCTCTTGTCTTATACTCTTAGGACACCGGGCGGGGCGGTGGGGTAGCCTAACGGTTACAGCGTCTGCTCGTCACGTTGAAGATCCGGTTTCGATTCCCCATATGGGTACAATGTGTGAAGACCATTTCTGGTGTCCCCCGCCATGTTATTGCTGGAATATTATGGCGTGGAACCACACTCACTCACTTAGAACACCCGTGTTATTGTATGTGTCTCTCGTCTCCAATCGCAACGAGCAAGAGTGCGGGCGTTCCAAAAAGAAATTCAGAAAATAATAATAATTTCATTAATTTCATTAACGTCTTTTATGAAAATTTAAAATTCAGGTCACTTAGAATTAGTTTTAAAA